TTCTATTTTAGTGTAATTTTTTTACTGTTTTATCAAATACATGCACTGAGCAGTGGTGCTCAGAGCATTATGCATTGCCTTGGTAAGCATAAGATAATGCTTTTGAAACTTGTTATGTCGACAAAAAATATTATAAAAATGAAATTGAATTGTGTGTATTTAGGATGCATACAATTCTAGCAAGTCAAAGTGTTGGTCATTTTATTCCAAAAGTGATAATGTAGTTCCATTTTAAAACAAAAAATACATTATTTATTGAAGTTTCGTATGCATCTTCTGCAATGTATTTGTTCACTTTCTGGCACCTTTCGATTGGACAAACTGGATCAAACTAGTAAGAGTGTGAAAAGTGTGTTAAGAGTTATTTTATAAAAGTTTTCAGGGCCAAAAGGGCCCATAGTTGAAGAAACAGCCATCAATGGAATAAAATTTCAACTCTGGAACTTCTTTAATGCGAGTCAGTTCACTCTATGGGCATCTTGATAATGGCATTCCCGGGCAGCTATTCATGTAGTAGGTAATAGACATTCAAGTACAGAGTCTATTTGTTCGAATGGGGACTGAAATCTCAAGAAGATTGCATTTCAATAATGTATTTCATATCCAAAATAAAATCTGACAAGGGTATCTCATGGTTTTGCTGGCATGTAGTGTCTTTGCAGAAAGGACATTGCAGTGCTCAGTGAATGCCAAGGATCCGGTTCAGATATCAGATCGTGATGGAGAGCTTGACCATGCCAGTAAAGGTTCCTGAATCTTTAGCCTCCCTAGAGAGGGAGAAATGGCCGGAGAGGCGTAGGGATGGGAGCTAGCAGGTTGTGGTGTCAGTTAGCAGCTATGGTCAGTGATGGACTGTTTGTGTACTTTAAAGGGGTCTTTAAATACGCATGATTCACAGTTCTGCCGATCCTCCTACTCAAGCACCAGGTTGGCAGATTCCCTTGCAAACGTGGAGCGTCTCTTGCCAGTGAGACGGCTGTATTACAAAATAGTGTGGACGTTAATCTGATGGCAGGCCATGTGCTGACACTTGCCATGCGTGCAGAATCTGATTAAATAAATCCAGAAGTAATGCTTTTCCATCCCAGTGGACACAATTTACTTGCATTAACAATAGCAGCAATCAGGAATTCACTGGAGCCGTAAACTTGCAATACGAGAGCAGTATTCGATGGATACTAGCCAGAGCCGATGCTATATTTTACGTGAATGAAAGTAAGCCATGTCAGTTTCAATACGTTGTGCTGTCGTCGTGTGATTTTATACGGTTGTGCAAGACTAGATGACATTGGAAAAACTTGTCGTTTACTTTTTTTATGTTTAGAATTATATTTTTACAAAAGCTATATTCAATTACTGTCAAGTTAAAGGGATACTCCACTTTTTTTTTTGGAAATGGGCTCATTTTATCACTCCCCCAGAGTTAAACAGTTGAGTTTTCAAATCCATTCAGCTGCTTTTTCTGATATTTAGAAGAATATCAGTAACCAGAAAGTTTCTGGTCCCATTGATTTCCATAGTAGACTATGGTCTCATTGACTATGGAAGTCAATGAGACCAGAAACTGTCTGGTTACTGATATTCTTCTAAATATCAAAAAATCATCTGAATGCCATTCGAAAGCGGTAAAGCCCAAATGTTTAACTCTGGGGGAGTTGTGAAATGAGCCTATTTCCAAAAAAAAAAAAAAAGTGGAGTATCCCTTTAATGTTATAATTTAAAAATGTTATTTTGAGAAAAGTATCTGGAGCAGAAAACGAAGTGCTTTATTGTCATTCCATCCACACAGCAATAGTGTACAGCAGAGCAAAATTGTTTCTCTAAGCTCAAATGTGCAAAGTACAAGCATAAATAAGAAAACAAAATAAGGGTAGTACATGCAGGACTACAACAGGTGGACCTACACTATAGATGGATCAAATAACAAATCAAGATATAAGACAATCAAAATATATACTGAAAATGACAAATGCTATACACATTGGGTATAGTGCATAGTATATTGCACATAGGTATAGCAGCATGTGATTCAGTCCTTCTATGTATCGTATCGAGAGTCTAACAGCCAGCATATCGGTGTATTGGTAATGTGATTTAAGTATTGTAATGGCCTGTGGGAAGAAGCTATTTAAAGTCTGGCAGTCATGCATTGCATGCTATGATAGTGTTTGCCAGCAGGCAGAAAAGTAAACAGACCATAGGCGGGGTGTGTGGAGTCTGATTATTTTGGTGACTCTGTTAAGGCAGTGTGACAGAACCAGTTCCTGGATAGATGGGAGGGAGGTCCTGATGATTTTCTTTGCTGTCATCATCAGTCTCTGGAGGGACTTCTGGTTTGTGGACGTGCAGCTGTTATACCAGACTGAGAGGCTGCTGGTCAAAATGCTCTCTATCGTGCCTCTATAAAAAGTTGAGAACATGACGGGGAAGTTTTGCTCTCCTCATCCGCCTTAAGAAGTGTTGGTGCTTCTGAGCCCTCTTGACCAGTGATGTGGTATTAGTAGTCCATGACAAGTCCTCAGTTATATGTCCTAATATATTGGTACTTCTCGCTGACTCCATTGATTATGAGTGGGTTATGAACATTATACTTCCTGAAGTCAATAGTGATCTCCTTTAGTCTAGTTGACGTTCAGTGACGGCTTATCACATCAGATGTCGAGCTGGTTAACTACTTTTGTGTTAGCCGATTCATTATTTTTGCTGGCAAAACCCACCACTGTTGTCGTCTGCAAACTTAATGCTGTGGTTCAAGTTGTATCAGGTGCAACAATCACCAAGGTGAACAACAGTGGGCTCAAGACACCGCCTTGGGGAACTCTGGTGTTCAGGATGATGTTTCAGAGGTTTTGTACCCAACTCATACATTCTTGGGTCTATCAGTGAGAAAGTCCAATGGGGAGTTTTGATGCCTAGTGGGGCCTTTTTCCTCGCCAAGTGCGTCATCGGGGGAGAGGTTGGGGTGGTATGCAAACTGGAGTGTCAAGTGTTGCCTTGAGTCTGAATGTGATGTGGCTTGGCCAGCTTTTCAAAGCACTTTATGGGAGTGAGGGCTATCGGGCGGTAGTCATTGAGTGTTGAAGCTGGTAGTGGTATGATAGTAATGGCCTTGAAGCACAGGGAGATGTTATAAATGTCTGTGAGGATGTCTGTTAGTTGGTTTGCACACCCTGCTATGTTTTCTGGACCTGCTGCTTTGCTTTCCGTGGATTGACACTACATAGGGTCCTTTGGATGTCAACTGGGTCAAGAATTACACAGTACTGCCTCATCTGGACTCGAGGGAGTTTTCATGGCAGTTATGTTCTTTTCCTCAAACCTGTTGAAGTAATGTGTATTGAGGAAGTCAATGTTTTCATCACAGGGTAGTTGAGAGGGTCTGGGATCTGTGATGGACTTGATACCCTGCCCCAAGCACCTTGAATCTTTTGTCAGAGAAGTAGGCTAACTATGTATGTTTTGACCAGAAGCACGCTTTGCTTATTCTATTGGCTATTCATGCGTTTTCCTTTCAGCAGGGCTCATTCTGCATAAATAAATGAACTCATGCATTTAGGTGAACTAGGCTTTGCACAGTCCTGGGCTTTTTCTGGGCTAAAAATGGGGCATTTCATTTACTTTAAACACAAAGCATGATTGACACAGTGCTGGGCATAGATTTTTATTGTGGATAAGGGGAGTTTCTAAAGGCTATATTCATCTTGTGTTAGTAATGAAAAGGTTCAGAATGACTACTCTGGAGTTTTGAGAGATAGCAGGACACAGTTTGCTGAACTTGGGGTATAAAGGCATTAGAGAGGATTACAGTTTAATTACAACCATGTTCATTGTGCTTTTGTTTGAGCTTTTTCTTAATCTGTCGTTCATCAAATGAATGGTTCTAAGTTAATAAAGGCTATCAGGAAATGTATTCATTTGAGCATTTCTACATTTTAAAATGTTTATTAAAAAAGAAAAATAAAGTGGCTAATGTGAACTATATATTCATTTAACTATATGTGTATATATGCCACACTTTAGATTAGGGTCCAATTCTCACTATGAACTATTAACTACAGCTTTTGCCTTAAACTCCTAATTACTGCTTATTAATTGTTAATAAGGTAGTTAAGTTTAGGTAATGGGTAGGATTAAGGGATGTAATATGGTCATGCAGAATAAGGCATTAATATGTAGTTTATAAGTACTAATGAGCATCTAATATCCTAATAGTGCCTGGCATGCTAATAAGCAACTAGTGAGCATTGGAGTGAGCATAAAATGAAGTGTTGGCTATTATTTTTTATTATAATAATATTAATAATAATAATAACAATAATAATAACAATATGTATAATATACGTGTGTATACTTGTGTATTTTTTTTATTTATAATTATATACCTAACACTTAGATAAATTAAATAAACAGCTATTTGTATATTTTTCTTATGTGGGGCCTGTGAAAATATTGGCATGGTATGTGCAAATCTAAACTACCTTTTGTAAAAAAATAAATAAAAAATTATGGTTGATTTTCTAATATACGCTCAGTCTGTATCATTGTTGGTTATTCATTTTGCTGCAGAAAAACTAACCTAAAGGACAAAGCAGAAAAAAGCATCCTTCAAGTATGCATGACTGATTAAACAGGTGTATTACTGTCTGTGTGCACTGAAACACGGTGAGCAACAAATCTTGTCCTTGAAAACACGTGTCCAAGATTAAACAGATGGGAAAATTATATATTTTTAAACTTTTCAATCAAGTAAATAGTCTATTTTAGTTAGTTAGTTAACCGTTTCAGTGCTTCCTAGTGAATGCTTTTGGTTTAGTCTTTGTGGTTTGGCACTGGTGATAGTTGGCTGTTTATATGAGATCTGGGCAGTGTCTTAACACAGTGTTCTCCAACATGCACCTCGTCTCACCATGAAACGCATTGTTGTGACATGCCAGTGTTGATAAAAAGCTGTATTTTTCATTAGTAGTGACACCCGACCTTCTGTTCTTCTTTGTTTACAGGTTCAACTACAGATCTACTCATCATCTTACCACTAACGGTTTTTATGAGTTTCTCAACTGGTTTGACGAGAGGGCCTGGTACCCACTGGGCAGAATAGTGGGAGGGACGGTAAGTTTATGGTAAAATTATAATGAGTAATAAATGTCATCGAAGTATTGTTCATTGTTAGTTTCTGTTAATTAATGTAGTTAAGCAGAGCTGGACGATTAATTGTTAAAAGACCCCAATCTCAAATCAAATACCCACGCAATTTCATTCCTAAGTGACAACGATTTGCATGTCTGTTAATCCTCTGACGAAATCACACAGAATTTAAAAATCTGTGTTCACACCCCACTGACCCAGAAAGAGCAGTTTCATAAACGTATACTAAATGATCTGAGTGGTACTTTCTTCTCCATTTAAATCATTTCTTATTTAAAACAAACAATTCATCATTTAAGCCTTATTTTAAGATCGATGCATGTGAACCAACAGGACTTTTAATCTATGCGTCAAAATAACAAGTGATTTCTGCCATTCACACCCCTCCACCAGACTATTCTGAAAAAAAAAAAATATATATATATATATATATATGCCTTTCACTTCACGAATCACAATCCAGAAATATTACTACACTAATTATTTATAGTTGAATGCTTGATGTCCTCATTGTTGTTGCTGCTTTCTTATGCCGAATGTTTGCATTCTTAACCGTTGCTTGTGAGTCAAGTTTGCAAGTTCTGTATTGTCTGCATTTGGACAATGGTTCTTGTTAAACCCCATAGCCTCTGTATGATAAAAATGCAGTTAAATGCATGCCAAAGGTTGTTTGTGTCCTATGGATAGACAGCCTCCGGATGATTTCTTCTTGAAAACAGCATCTTTCGTCCCTAAATTTGGCCACCCCCTTTAACACTCCCTGTCACTGACTGCGCAGTGCTGCTGAACCTTAATGAGCTGGCTGGAGAAAGTTTGGCTAACGTTTGACATCTGACAGCTCTGGTGTTGGAGCTGTAGGGGGGCTACAGGAGGCAGGGAACAGCATCTGTTGTTGTGTACAGTTCAAGCAGTCGTTATATACGGGCTTCAGAGCAGGTTGGTCTGTTTCCAGAGCAGCCTGCAGACTCGCTTGTGAGATGAAAAAAGAGAGAATGGGATTGTGGAGGTAAAGGACAGGGTATTTTAGTGGTGCACAATATATCGGCCGCCGATATAATATCTTGCAATTTTTTACACATTGGTATCATTCGGATGTCAAAACAGGGCCGATGTGGACAAGCCAATAATCATTCCTGTGTATTTGACGTGTGTGTAGATGTGAGTGGGGGGCGGGGCGCAGGGATGTTTGTTTTCGCATGAGCGCATACATTATCAGCGGACGTCCTGTCAATTTAAACATCAAGCGCAAGAGGACTGGAAAGCTTTCCACACATTCACATGACAAACCACACTTTCAATAATAATAATAATAATAAAAATAATAAAATCTGTTCAGTGACAATGTTTTCTGTGTTGAGACAAATATTGTGCGATGTCCTAAACGGCCTGGTTAATCACACAACAAGTCCGATCCGCTAACTAATGACTCCTTTGAACCGATTCACTTTAATGAATGGTTGAAACAACTGATCTGTCCAACACTTTACTCAAGAGACTTAAATCGGAAACACTTTACAATAAGGTTCTATTTATTAAAGTCTTGTTAACTACATTAGATAACATTCTGTTAATATTAGTTTATTTGTGGATTTACTCCATGACAAAACCAGTAATTCTAGAATGATTCATTCTTTCCAAATAGAGCTATTCATGTCATCTGGTGAAATTGTTTTTATATCGCAAAAAAAATAAAATATCGCAATGTAATTTTTTTTTACCAATATCGTGCAGCCCTATAATTACTATGTGTTTTCTATACAGAGATATTGACATCGGTAAATGTCCGTATTGGCCATAACAGCAATATTAATATCAGTTATCAGTATCGGCCACAATTTTTACATCTGTGCATCACTAGGGTATTTCCTCTCTCGCGGCTAAATTCAGCTTCGAAAGTGAAAATTGTCATTTACTCACCCTCATGTTGTTCCAAACCTGTATGATGTTTGATGGAACACAAAAATATATTTTGAAAAATTGTTTTTATTCATAAAATGAAAGGAAAGATCTGAAAATGAAAGTACAAAACAACATTGGAGACCATTGACCTTAATTGTATGAACATTTTTTTCTTAAAATGTCATAGACAAGGTGATTTAAGATGATTGATTACAAGGCTCCTAAGGGAGTGCTTGTGCTAAGCTTTTAATTTCTCTGTCTTGGGGCCAATCAAATATTTAGGAATCTGTACAGGCTTTCTTACAAATCTTGATTTTATTGATGAATTGCTGCAGGCAAACTTCTTGTTAATGAATTTTTCATTCGATTGCAACTCTCATATCTCGTCTTTTGCAGGTGTATCCTGGTCTGATGGTGACGGCGGGCTTGATTCACTACATACTGAATTTGCTTCATGTGACTGTGCACATACGTGACGTTTGTGTGTTCCTGGCCCCCGTCTTCAGTGGCCTGACTGCCATCTCCACCTTCCTGTTGACGCGGGAGCTGTGGAACCAGGGTGCCGGGCTGCTAGCAGCGTGTTTCATCGCCATTGTACCCGGCTATATTTCACGCTCTGTGGCCGGCTCATTTGACAACGAGGGCATTGCCATTTTTGCCTTGCAGTTTACCTACTACTTATGGGTTAGTTGCATTAAAATGTGACAGTTTGTGTGTGTTTCTCTTCATTTCCTTAAATTTCCTCTTACTCAAAACTATCAAGTTTAATGATGTAAAATGACTGATAATCAAAAGTTGAAAATCGTAATCGGTTCACACACGATCGGTCTGAATCATGTGTTTCTTGAATATGAATGTTAAAGTTGAATTTAATTCAATTCTTTTGACAGTTACATTGGTTCTCAAGTTAACTGCTCACTGGAAGAGAATATTATCAGTGAATAACTTGTAATTTTAGCCTGTTCATAACACAAAGTTGTCATATGACTTCAAGGACTCGGAATATAGAGCATGAATCACAAGGACTACTTTTATAATGCGTTTATAATGTTTTAAGGTGCCCCTTGAGAACTGTTCTAAAATGAATGAATATCCATTTCAGAAACTCTAGCGCTGTCCCACAACAGTCGAAATGATGAATTAACCTTGATAGACATTCATCACATTTTTTTTTAGCTGAACGTAGAGACAGCTGGAACGGATGCAGTGGCAGCATACTTTGTCTCCTGTGGCGCGTTGATTTTTTAAAAAATTTTTTTTTTTTTTGGCACCCATCCTCTCTGGAGCTTGTTGTCAGCTGAGACTGCAAGGACTTTGCTATCAAGCTTGGCTTAAACGCTGAATTTCCTTGGTCTCTCTTATCTCTGAGTGTTCCTCATCTTGGCTTTATTTGAGGTGATGATATCAGACCTTTTGTTTGGGATTAGCAGAATTAACCTAAGTGTGTCCTTTCCACACAGGTGAAATCGGTGAAAACTGGCTCGGTTTTTTGGGCCATCGGCTGCTGCCTCTCTTACTTTTACATGGTGAGTGTTCATTTGACTTTTTACCTTCAGCTGGTGTACTGCATTTCATTTCTGTTAATAATACTTGGTAACACCAAAGTAAAATACTCAAGACAGTTTTTCCTGCCAATGCTTATAGGAAATAACACTACCGTTCAAAAATTTGGTGTCTGTAAGATTGTTTTTCTTATGCTCGACTGTATTAATTGAGAAATACAGTAAAAACGGAAATACTGTGAAATCATTACAATTTATATAACTGTTATTATTGTAGTGTTTTAAAAGGTAATGTACCCTCTGATGCAAAGCTGAATTTTTAGCAGCCATTTCTTCAGTCTTCAGTGTACCATGATCCTTCAGAAATCATTGTAATATGCTGATTTGTTGCTCAACATTTATTATTATAATAAACATTCATTATTTTTCTTATAAATGTTGAAAATTGTAAAGTTGTAATATTTGTTTCAGGATTCTTTGAGAATTAAAGTATTATTATTATTATTATATATATATATATATATATATATATATATATATATATATATATATATATTTAGTCTTACTGACACCAAACTTGTGAACGGTAGTTCATAGCATGACAGTTGTAGTCCAATTGTCAATTGACAATTAAATGACAATTCCTTTCGCTGAATCAGTCAGAACGATTCGAATGAGTCACACTTCCACCGTTTTAGTTTGAGTGAATAAGTTGGCGCACTTAGGAATTTACATTTGATTCACTCATTGAACTGTAAGTCATTACTTGGTGCTATCATGAATCATAAACTGTTTTATGTAAGGTTAATGAACATAAAACTGTGCAATTGCTATAAATAATGTTAAAAGAACCGTAATCTTTAAGCGGAATCGTAATCTGAAACGGAATCATTAAATTCTTATGATTCCCATCAGTGGTGTTCGTTCGTGTTCTGGGACTGGTCGCACATCTCCCTTGCTCTTTTTTTCAACCCATTAATGTGATGTGTAAAATAAATGAATAAGCAAACTCCACCATCCATCTTGCCACCCTGGTGGGGGCCATGCGCCAGTCGGTTATGAATGTCAGCCATTTCTGAAACTTGAGAACCTTCCCCTTGAGGAAGGCAGCGCTCATTAATAATGGAAGCCTACAGCCCTGCCCAGCCCCCAATAATCTCTGGCTTTCCAAATGTGTTTATAAACATAAATGACACCAGTGCAATCTGAGCCATCTGCTCCATCAAGACCTTGGGGTCCAGCACAGTCCGACACGGGCTAGAGGCGCTACCGGGGGCATGAGTTGAGAAAGCCTCTCTTGAGCGAGACATTCTAAGTGACCTAAAAATGTGCAGAGGTTTCAAAGACTGAGTGTGCTAATGGAGTTTTCTAGTAAATGTGATGTGTAATAGGGATGAAAGTCAGCAGGGACCTGGGCGATATTATATAACTTGGTCACGAGACATTACGTTTCTTAACCTTTAGTGTGTAGTTTTTGAAAACTGGTATATTGTAATATTTTACTCGCTTGTTTTTCTTTCATTTGCATTACACGGTGACTACATCAGATGTGAGCGGCACGACATAACAAAAGACAATAGAAACTCTTGTAATCGGTGATTCCGTCTACTTTGGTTGCGGCGCCAAACGATAACTCCCAGAATGGGTTTCATTTCTGACATACTTCAAGCGCATTCGCTGCTACTGACATGGATTTGCAGTGGTCGCTTTGTCGTGCCAGTGTAGACGGCCTCAAGATGACGCGATGTGACCGTGGTTGTGCCCGATGTATACATGTTTAGACTGGTGCTTGTTTTGACGAGTATTTTCTAAACTTTTAATATTATTTTAACTTATTTAATATTTAAAATTGTCAATGTCGTTTCATTAATTCATAGACTTTTAACACTGTCTACAACGGATGCGACAAGACAGTAGAAACCATTATAATCAGTGATGCTGTCTACACTGGATGCAGCGCAACACGATAAATCCCTGACTGTAAACTGATTCCCCAACCTAATGTAAGCGCTCACATTATTTCCGACAAGAAGAACGAATAGATTTGCAACAATCACTGTCTCATCCAGCGTTGACAGCCTCAAGCTTTTGCTTTACTAAAACTGTTAAAGACAGCGTAAATTGTCGCTCATTCTTTTTTCAGTCAGTTTTACTCTAAGTAAGATTAAAGAGTAATTTCATACTGAAATGACAATAAATTGTACACATTGTAAGACTAAACTTTATTCTGAGGTTTTTTTTCTTATTCTTCAGAATGTGAATTAAACTTCATATACTTCTGAAGATTAATATACATAACATAAATTCCCAATACACCATTTTTGTTGTAATGTGACCCCATGAAATATCATTATTAGTATGTTGAAGTAATAATTATCTAAAAATGTAAATGATTCTTAACGTGAAAATATTGCAATATTTGGACGTGTGCAACACGACGTGTTTTGTGTTGCAGGTGTCTGCATGGGGAGGATACGTCTTCATCATCAACCTGATTCCCCTCCATGTTTTCGTGCTGCTCCTTATGCAGCGCTTCAGCAGGAGACTGTACATCGGTGAGTCACCTGTGTTTTGTGTGTGTTTGTGTGAGCTTCTCTGGTTCCTGTATGAAGTACACGCTTCATCGCCCACACAATCACGCTGCGTAGTGCTTGTTCTCCCGCACAATAACGAAGCGTGAACCAGCTTTTTCCCACTTGCTTTTTGATTTGGAAGCGCTGACACTCTTGCGCAGTCGTGGTTGCGAAGTGTTCGTCTATCTTTCTTCACATTGACAGCAGCATTGAAGTTGATGTTCAATGACATTCATTCCGCCCACTTTTTTTTTTCCCCACAACCAATCATAAGCAGCGCTGTTCGGAGTATACATGGATCTTCATGTTGCATAAAAAAGCCTTTGGCTCCACATCCGCAGTCTTAAATGACAAAACAACATGCTAACTGTGAATTAGAACCTCTGCTAGCATGAATAAGCTTGTTACTTCTGCAAAGTGAAAAAAAAAAATACACTAGTTTTTTTTTCCTTCAAGATCAAAGAGTCATTTTTGGAGTCCCTTTTTGTCTTTGACAGATTGTGCCATTTTTTTAAGTGGATGAATAATTAAAGGTGAAATGTTTTTGTGAGGCTACTAAGCAAGCACTTTGATAAAAGAATGAGGCCTTGTGCCACTGGGCTAATTTTGTTTAAATCTTTATTAGCCTCTCACACTCTGCACAGCTGCCCTGTGCGAAATGTGCTACTGATGGATGTTGTGTATTAGCTCAGTTTGTCTCCGCTCTGGAAAGTTTTTGCACTTGCCGCAGGTCCCACTACACATTTGCCATGGCCCGACTCCACATGAGTATCACTGCTACCTCTCCTAATAGATCATACTGATTAGATTAAGTAGCACTGCTCTCGGTTTATGGGGCCAGAGCTTGAACAAAGAACAGCAGTCATGTTCAGAGATGGATGGAGAATGGTGTAAAACCAGTGGGATCTGGTTATTGCATTTCTGTTGCACCTTGTCTCCGCCTAGAGTGATGTTTTCTTTGCTAGCCTAACAGTTTAAAGACTGTTTAATATATATTTTACCCTCAAAAATAGCTAGAAATATCTGGAAATCATATCCAAACTGATTGGCTGGGTGATACTTGACTTTCAATGATTTACAAAGTTGGTGTTCCAGGTTAAAAATAACATAAAATTAAGGTTCTTAGTAATAATTAAACGAAATTATCGTTCAAAAGTTTGGGGTTGGTAAGATTATTTGAAATGTTTTTCACCAAGAAAGCATTTATTTGATAAAAAAATACAATAAAACAGTAAAATTATGAAATATTATTAGAATTTAAAAGGACAAAGACACATTTTAATATATTATAAAATGTAACTTATTCCTGTGAGACAATGATGTTTTTGTAACATTTATAAATGTCTGTACTGCAACTGCTTATCAAATGAATACATCCTTGCTTAAGTAGGCCTATGTATTTCTTAAAATACATTTTTGAACAGTAGTGTAGATCTGATTTGAAGATTTTCTACTTGACAAGTAGATCTGATTTTTTTTATTTTTTTTATTTTGAGGTAGTCATCAAAATCTGAAATGTTTTTCAGGACTTTAGAGACCCTGGACTTTATGCTGATGTGATTGCACTGTTGTTTTACATCTTAGATAAACCTGCATCAAATCATGGTTTTTGTTTTTACGTGCTGTTTGACAGTCACACAGCATTAGGTGTCTAATTTGGACCAGATTTTAGTTATATAATATGGCTCGTTGAGAATTTAGCCACTTTCCCACTGCAGGAAGTAATGCACATTTCAGAAACTTTAGAAGTAGTCCATGTCAGAATAGTTTTGAGTGCATTGACGTTATCCGAAGAGATTTTGATTGGTCAATGTCGCCTATCCAGGTCTCATCTTAATAACACAAAACCAAAAATGTGTCTAAAAGAGTGTCTTCCTTCATTGTCCTTGGTATTGCTACTATTTGGTCATGCACAGAAACAACACAAACTAGATTACATTTCATTTATTTATTTCAGCAGGGACAATGTGCAAAAAAACATTAATTAAAGATGCTTTGCACCAGATTTAGCTTAAGCTAGTTTCCATCTGCAGTCCCCGAGCAGGGGAATTACAATACAAAATATACAATATAAAATTCATCCATCCATTCTCTTTTTCAACCATCAATAAAACCTCACTAAAAATCATATTTACATACATAATTATCTATGCTGGAACAACCGGTTGTTCAAAAGCACTTTCCTTATATTACGAGTAAAATCCGTCAGGTCAAAAGTGAGTTTGACATCACCACAGGGTTCCCATTATAGGTGCCAATGCAAGAGGGAAAAGTCTCTTCTGGTCTGTAGTTCCACTTCCAGAGAGTCCTGTTTAACTCTAGACCCTGAATATTTTGTCACTAATTAAATCAACCCATTTAATGGCTGCTTTTCGCCGCCTCCTTTTCAGAGGTTTTTTTCTTTCACAAAACAGCCTGTCAGCTGCCCATGAATGAGGAAGTGTTTGTGTGTCTGGATGGGGGCATGCGTGAATTGTCTCATTAGAGCATCCTATTTTGGAGTGAACATGTTCCAGTTTGGCCCTTAATTGATGCTTCTCAAAGACTGACAGCTCATTCAGTCACTTTGTCACAAGCGGCTTCAGTTTCCTCTGCTGCGCAGCTGTATCGCCATCTCATGTACCCACATTCATACTTGGACCTCTCTTCTGACTGGCTGTCAACACCTGTCTCTCAGGTAGAGGTCCACTTCACAGAGCTGTCAGTCAAGTATTGCACCGGTGACAGACTGTTGCGGTTGCCATTCTTCTGAGAATGTCTGCTCTCCATCACTGGTGTGTCGGTGTTTTCTCACCATTTTGTATTTATCGTGCAGTATTCGTCACTTTGGGTAATATGCGGACAGGTTGGAAACACAATGATAGCTGGTTTAGAAATGGAGGAACATATGTATATTGTGCACTAAAATAGCTTCTTTGTTGATTTTGTGTCTGTTAAACTTGGTAATGCAAGTAACCGCAATACTGTATTGATAAAACAGGGTATTGCCCTGTGATTTCAAAATGTAAGCATATATTTTACTCTGTTTAATATGCGAGTTGTGATGTTAAATAAAGCATTAAAAACCCTAGAGTATTTCAGAATGTCAGCAGGAAACTTGCACTCATTCTCTCGTATTTGAAGTTTCTACAAATGTACCACTTGTCCTTTGGCTGCATGAGATGAGGTATGTTTTGAGTCAAGAAAAAGTCGGAGTTTGCGATATGTTTCTGGATGTGCTTAAATCTATTAGAATGCTTTTGTCATATACATCACACATGCACACTTCAATAAGCCGACAGAATGCAGGTTAAGGTGTTTACATGGCGGGAGAAATCGGGGCGTCTCGAACGGTTTATTCTTAAGCTGTTTATGACCTTACGGCGATAGAGGAAAATGGTTTAATGCGTTTACGTGACTACACATGTTCATAAAGCATTATTGGGTTAAGAACATGTAAATGCACTCAATGTAAATCCAGGACCATCAGGAATTCATTAAATAGATTCATGTCAGTTAGCAGTCATACATTGCAAACTTGGTGCCGGTGCTTTAAACTAAAGAGACCTTTTTCATTTGTTTTCTTAGCAGAGACTCTTAGCAATTTGCAAATGGGGAAACTCACAGGCAATTAATCATAAGGAACTAACGATATTAAGTGCCTCAATGCAGGATTTGGACTGTTTGCATTAGGAGAGTGCAAAGTGAACCTTTATTCTTTAAACATGGTTATGGATTATTACACTACTGTTCAAATGCTCAACAAAGCATTTATTTGATCAAAAATACAGTAAAATGGTAATATTGAAAATATTACTAATTCTTTTTGTTTATTACATTTTAAAACCATTAAATATTATTCCTGTGATCAGAGCTAGCTGTATTTTCAGCATCATTACTCCAGAAATTATTCTAATATGCTGATTTGCTGCTTGAGAACCTTTCTTTTACTTCAATGTTGAAACAAGTTGCTGCTTAATATTTTTGTGGGAATTTGTATTTTTACCTTGTTGATGATTTGTTTTTAAATAAAAAAAATGTAATGTTTTGTAAATTTATTAATACATATATTTTCTGTGACTTTTGATCAATTTAATGCCTCCTTGCTGAATAAGTGTAAATTTCTTTCCAAAAAAATCTTACTGACTGTCTTGAAGTTTTGAATGGTAACAGAAGTGACTTGCAGTCGAGGAACTTAATCAATTGGTCACAGGGTGAGGAATGGATAGTTTATCCAAAAATGATAAAATACTGTCATTTCCTCTGCCTCATGTTGTACTAGACTTGCATGACTTGTGTACATATGTGGGAAAAGAAGATATTTTGAAAAATTGAGCTGGTTGCATTTAAAAGGATGCAAAAGCACAATAAAAGCTGACTGATGCGTTACATTCCATGTCTTCTAAAGCCATATAATAGCGTTATCTGAGGAAGAGGCTAAGATTAAAGTCATAACTTTTTCAAGTCTTCAGACAACTTGGAAATAAAGTTTTATAGACCATGTTCAAGTTACTTTTATGGTACTTTTGTGTCATGTTTTTTTTAAGCTTGACAGACTCGCCCATCTGTCACTGTTCATTGTAATTGCATGGAAGACTGCAAATGGGACATTTTCTTCAGAATTACTCCTTTTGTGTTCCACTGAAAAGATTAAGTCCTACTGGGTTGGAACGCAAATCAATACTGACAGAGTTTTCGTTTTTAGGTGACCCATCCCTTTAAGTGTTCACATAATAAAAGTCTCTTTTTTTGACCATCAATGACCATCTACGGCTATTCTCACTTTCTTTACTTCTTTTTATCTCAGCCTACAGCACCTTTTATATAGTGGGGTTGGTGCTGTCCATGCAGATCCCCTTCGTAGGCTTCCAGCCCATCAGGACAAGCGAGCACATGGCTGCAGCAGGTAAGACCAGTTTGCATCTATTCTTCATTAACTGTTGCTCATTTACACTGATTTAAAAGCAGCACTCTCAACTCAAATCCATATAGCCATGACGACAATCATTTACATCACATCCAATCAGCAGCAGTCCTTCATGACTGTGTGTGAGAGTTGACTAAATGGGCTAATGGATCATTTGCGTTTGCAGGTGTATTTGCTTTACTTCAGGCTTACGCCTTTCTGCAGTATCTGAAGGACAGACTGACCAGGCAGGAGTTCCAGACACTGTTCTTTCTGGGCGTTTCTATGGCTGCAGGGGTGGTTTTCCTCACTGTTATTTACCTGACTTACACAGGTGAGTGTAAAAGGACAACAGCTGCATTTAAAATCTCTGAATAAAATTTTCAAACTGAACTTCGGCCACAAATCAGACCTTTTTTTTCCCTGCCAAAAATTCGCACTTAAAATAGGTCTTTGGTTGTATATTAGTTAGGGGAGAGTGGGGTAAACTGTGCATCCTTTTGGGCAAGGAGGAATATTCAAAATTAATATTGTAATATCAGATGATTGCAAACATCCTGATATATAGGAAATCATATATTACATACAAACATGTATGCCTTACCACCCACTCATCCTTTTTGAATTGTCTTTTAAATGTGTAATTCGGGAATGTGAACCATTTATTTTATTATTATTATTATTTTTTTAAACAAGTTTGAACAACATTTCCATTTTCATGTGAACCATTTGTACTATCATTTGGGTTTAAGATTTATAATAATCTTAGCTATATGAGTCACACGATTATTCTCACCTAAGCTGCATTCATTTGATAAATACAGGAATAAAAGTAATATTAGGAAATATATTAAAATAGAAAGTTATTTTAAATTATAACATGTTAAATGTTGTTTTTTTTTCTATGACTGCTTAATTTGACTCCAGTCTTCAGTGTCACATGTTCATTCAGAAGTCTTTCGTATATGCTGAGTTTGTTGCTCAAAGAATATTTCTTATTATTATCAATGTTAAAAAATTTCTATTATTATCAATTTTGTATATTGATTATGGTGAGGCCTATATAGATATTTGGTTACATGTTAAAAATGATGCCTTTTTTGATTTGATGGGTCTGGCACAGATTTATCCACTGACATATCTTACCCCACTCTCTATTGAAAGGTCTCAACAGTCATGGGAAGATTTTTTTTGTTTTTTTTTAATTCCCCACTATTTTGCAAGATTGTCAGTAAATAGATTGCACCATAATAAATTGTCGCCCTGCTTGACTGATTTGCAGTTTATTTTTTCAGTGTAATATTAAAAAGGTTCAATGCTGTTTACTTGTCAGTTAGAGGACACAATGTTGATGGACTATGAAACACTTTTTTTTCCCCCTCCTTCAACATATCACCCTTGATGGCATTGAGATGGCAATCTCTTTCATATTCTGTCCTTGTCTAAATCATCCAAACCAAACAACTTTCAGTGAGGGAAGAAAAAAAAAACATCCATGTCATCGCATCCAATGAAATAATCGCAGCAAATTCTCTAACTTCTCACCTGAATACAGCGTGACTTCATGACCTCAGGCTCTTAACACCACACCTCTGCCGGCATATATGAAGTCAGGGTGATTTGCTTGTATTCCCGTCGTACCTGAGGCTTTCATTAATCTTTCTACTGCAGGGTCTCGTCTGCAGAAGGCCTCTGAGATCTCATTAAACACTTCCCTCCGCTCACCACACTGCTTTTCAAACCGAGTGCAGTCTCACGGTGCAGATTAATTGAAAATGTTGCTGGCTGTATGTGTGGTATTAAGGTTCACTGGACGTAGTCCAAGCTCATCAGCGCCTCAGAAGCTGCTTGAAAGTGCTCTTGAGTCGGTAATGGTCGGGTGGTTTGCGTGTGCCTGTTATCGTTTAATCACTCTGTTGTGTTCTTGTGCTTTTCAGGGTACATTGCTCCTTGGAGTGGGCGTTTTTACTCTCTCTGGGACACCGGGTAAGAATGCTGAATAGTTCTGAACACTTTTCTGTTTTCTTTTTTTTGGGGTACTACTTGGTCGTATGAGTAGTTGCTAATAGCTCGTTAGCACACCCTGTTCAATGGCTTAACAACAAAAGAGCTGATTTTGTCACTGGCTCAAGTAGCGTGATTTATATCTGGAAGCAGGTTCTTAGACCGACTTAAATTATGTCTGAATAGCTTCATTCAGTTGATATTCTTTCACACCACCAATGAAACCCCGCTGCTAGTGCAAAAGCATGTGGCAAATTGTATGCCATTGACAAATTGAAATGGTTATTGTAAAAACATTTTTGAGAGGGATTAATAGAATTTAGTTTAATCTCACAAATCTTAAAGACCCCCTGTGGTGAAAATCAAGTTTTTAATGTTTATATATGTCTATGTGGTGTTTCAATTATGCTTAAAGACAGACCTTGTGTGAATTCATCAGTCAACACCATTGCTGAGTATTTTCCCCCTTAAAACTGCAGTGAACCAAAATCCGTATCAAACACGCAGTTTGAAATCTACCTTGTTCCCTTCTATATACAAATATGTTGTATAAATTAGGGCTGTCAAACGATTAATCGCATCCGAAATAAAAGTTTGTGTTTACATAATATATAGGAGTGCACTGTGTATATATATATATATATATATATATATATATAAATACACGCACATGCATGTATATTTAAGAAAAAAATATTATTTATTAGGGGTGGCACGGTTCACGAAACCCACGGTTCGGTTTGTATCACGGTTTTAGGGTCACGGTTTTCGGTTCTGTACGGTTCTTGTTATTTTTTCTTTTAATCTTAACACTCCAGAAATGTACTTCAGCAAGTGATATATAGCTTAATTATCCACACTTTAGGATACAGTATTACAAATTATATTCATGCAATCATGCACAAACTGGATTTGACTCTTTGACTTTAAGCACATTTTGGGACTATCTCAGAGGAAAGCTAGGTGAGATTTAGATACAGCAAGAGAGAAGAAATTGACATGCTTTTTGTTTATTTGGCAAAAAAAGGAGAATGTGTATCACTATCTCTACAAGAACTTGTGCATTTTTATCACATAAATCTTATTTACACAAAGAAATTAACTTTCATGTATCAACTGCTAACTTTTGTAGCTCTTACCAAAATTCTATCTTTTAAAAGAAAAAGAGATGAACTCTTAAAACACTGTCTTTTAAATGGCATTGCCTATAGATAATTAAGCTATAGCAATAGCAATGCCATAAACATAAAGTGAAATTGAAGTTCAACCTTAACACAAAAACAGTATCAACAATGCTTCTATTCCCAAAATGTGAGGGTACTTTTTTTCCACTTAAAATTAAAGTGCAGGATTTGGAAACGTATGACTGAAGCTCTTATCTATACATAAAGTGCCACTGTAGCGTTATATTAAAATATCATAACATGAAATCCAAAATGTTCCCACACACCGGACTTATACCATAGACTCATACGACGCTGGCGCATCCTTTAACTCCCTCATCTCTCCCACTTGCCATTTCTCCGCGTGCCGTCCGTGACCGCGCTCCATACTTCACTTTTACTGGCTTGTTTACTAACTTGAACCGGCGCTGCACAGAGCGATCGGTAATGACATCAAATACCGCGAAAGTGATGAATGCATACAGAGCCGACTCGCGCTAGTTTGATGTTATTCACCGATCGCTCTGTGCAGCGCCGGTCCAAGTCGAACAAGTTTATGTCGCGCGAAAAGAAAACACACGTCACATACGGGCACGAGGTTACATTGCGCATGCGTCGAACCGTGAGACGCACACACGCACCGAACCGAGACAAGCGAACCGAACGGTTCGGGTGTTTTTTCATGTACCGTGCCACCCCTATTATTTATATATAGAATATTTATATATAAATCTATCTAAATCTATATACAGTACATGAAAATATTTCTTAAATATATACAAGCGTGTGTGTATTTTTATAAATAGTATATGTATATGTGTGTGTATATATATATATATATATATATATATATATATATATATATGAAATAATTATACACAGTGCACCCACATATATTTTGTATATTTTTAAAAACAAACTTTTATTTTGGATGCGATTAATCATTTGACAGCCCTAGTATAAATATGTCATTTTGGTAATTAAAGATGAGTTTCAAGGGATTCAATTGACTACAGGGGGACTTAAAGAAATGTCTTGGTCATATTTCACCCCAGAATCATAATATAAATCACAATTTTTGATTTAATAATTTGGTTGAATCTCACGATATGTTTTGTCTGCTACAGTGGTATTGCTTTATAATGTGAGGTTAACTTCATATACAAGTTTAATATATACAATATAAACAATGTCTGGGTCACACTTTTTTTTTTCTCCTTCAGGTGTTCATCACCATATGTTTTTCTTTTCCCTTTTTTTTCAATAATTCTCATTACTGTAATATCGTGTTCTTTATTATTAAATGGGAATGTAGTTTAGCATAAATAATTGCACAACAGCCACATGTAATTATATACTTTTTTAGATTACAGTACAATTTGATTGATTTGTTTGTATTCTAGAAATCAGATTTTGAGGGGAAATCTGCTTAACCGTTCAGAAAATTGTCACAATGCCAAAAAATCTTATCGGTCATAAAACAAGGCTTGATATAAACAAAATCATATTGATTTTGATGCAAAATGAAAAGGGATCCAAACAAGACACACACATTTCCATTTAAAAACTAAAGAAGGTAAAATCCTGAACTGTTCAAGTAATTTGTTGCTTTTTTAGATATTTTATATCTGAAGAGTTCAGATGCTCTAAGTGCCATTGGAAATTTTCTTCTAAAATGATCATTTTTATCAAGCTTATATATTCAAGTTCAGTAATTTCACTTAAATGGCAATTAATAGGTAATCCTCATTGCAATTTAAGTGAAATTACTGAACTTAAATATACAAGCTTGATAAAAATGATCATTCTAGAAGAAAAATTCAAATGGCACTTAGACCCCGTTTACACCTGGTATTAAAATGCGATCTGTATCCAGATAAGTTATCCGGATAATAAAAAACGCATGTTAATGCAAGGTGTAAACGCGTTGTGATCGGATCGTGATCGGATCTGCCTGACCACATCTGGAGGTAGTCTGGCTCGCATTGTGTCCGGATCTTTACTAGGTGTAAACGCAATCTGGTTGTTGAAACCACATATGTATATTTTACTCCTCCCAAAAATGCTAAAAAATAAACGAGTGAGAGCGTGTTATAGGCTATATGTCATGTTATAGCCTAGTCAGATGCGACACGCGACACGCATCACCGCAGATGAGCAGCTGAGCGTCTATTCAACGTGCAAACATCGCAAATAAAAGTGAAAGTAAGTCACAGACGCAGTTAACACATCTTCAAGTAAAGAAACGAAATTATCTTACCAGGCCTGTTGCCACTCTCTCTTATTGATGTCTCTGATTTGGAAATTAGCTGATGATCAATAAAATGCCGCTCAGATCTGTTGCGGTGGCGTGCAATCCAATAAATCTGCATATAACGCAGGAGGTGAAGATCGGATTTATATCCGTTTTGCAAAAACACATTTATGTGGCCAGGTGTAAATGGAATCAGTACTTATTATCCGGATAACTTATCTGGATACAGATCGCATTTTAATACCAGGTGTAAACGGGGTCTTAGAAGCTTTTGCATCTGAACTCTTCATCTGTAGATCAAGACCTGGTCACATTTACTCTCTTAGCTGCATGAAAAAAATGGCTTATTTTAAAACTAATATATGTACACTGGAAGCTGAAAAAGCTAGAACATTCCCATCCCATTGCAATCAAGCTGTCACTGCAAGTGTTTGAGCTGTGCAGTTGAGTGCGAGTTCTCATGAAGCGTTCTAGTTTTGTCACATCACTCACTTGCAGTGTATTTTGGGTGTTACAAGAAGTATGGTGTAAGTTTCTGCTGTGACACAACTTTCCAGGACTTAAATTTGTGTATCATCACAAACAGAAGTGAAACAGATCAAACAGCTGTGGACCTTGAAACATGCTCATTAGGAGAGGTTGTCATTGCTGATAGGCCTGTATAGTAATCTTGATTATTTATTCAATTATTTTGGGAGCCCTGCCGGTATGGCAATGTATGTACCTTTTTACTTTGCAGCAACAAAAACCCATTTGCTTTTTGTTCTTTGCCCTCAGTGAAAGGTCGCCCATCATAAATTCATAAATGTGTAACTCCCTTAAAGCAGCAGCTCTGCAGGGAGACCCACAGTCCTGTCGAGCTCTCGCTGTGCGCAGTCAGCCATCTGCGTTTCAGTCAGCACCTATTCGGAAGGTCAGGTCGCCAGATAATGATCACTAGAACACTGATAGTCACCAAAATTGAGCGCAGTAATGCAGCAACATTGAGAGGAAGAACAGCAGTGCAACTCTACAACAAGCAGGCCTGTTTTAGCACAAACTGAGAGGTTTTCGCTTGCCCAAAAGACATTGTTTAAAGGAGTAGTTCACTTTTTTTAAAAACTTTTGCTGATAATTTACTCACCCCCATGTCATCCAAGATGTCCGTGTTTGTCTTTCTTCAGTCGAAAAGAAATTAAGGTTTTTAAAGGGTTAGTTCACCCAAAAATGAAAATTAAGTCATTAATTACTCACCCCCATGCTGTACCAACCCCGTAAGACCTTCGTTCGTCTTCGGAACACAAATGAAGATATTTTTGATTAAATTTGAGAGCTGTATAACTACCACATTGGCTCCTAAAGGACTGCCTCTTGACAGCCCAAAAAGTCAATGAAGAAAATGTTTAAATATCCCAAGTGACTACCGTGGCTCAACTATATGTTTATCAAGCGACGCGAATACTTTTTGTGCGAAAAAACAAACAAAAATAACGAGTTTATTCGACTATTTCTTTTCTTCCTTGTAGGCCAGAACGAGACTTCCTTAGATTTCCACGACGCATGCGCGAGAATTGCGATCTGAAGTAGTGTAAGCTGGTGTGAGCAGATCGCAATTCTCGCGCATGCGTCGTGGAAATCTAAGGAAGTCTCGTTCTGGCCTACAAGGAAGAAAAGAAATAGTCGAATAAACTCGTTATTTTTGTTTGTTTTTTCGCACAAAAAGTATTCGCGTCGGAAAACATTCCAGAATTTATCTCCATATAATGGACTTTACTGGTAACCAAACGGTTCAAGGTCCAAAAGACGGTTTCAATGCAAACTGTTCAAAGGGCTTTAAATGACTCCAGACGATGAATAAGGGTCTTATCAAGCGAAACGATCGCTCATTTAATAAATAAATAACAAAGTTTAAGTTTTATAAGCTCAAATGGTCGCCTTGCTCTGTTCTGTGATGCACGTTCGTGACTCTCCTGTTCGAACTCGTTTAACTCTTTTTTTCGAGTCATTTGGTTCAATACGAATTGACTCGGGAAAAGATTCGTTCATTTTGGTCGTTGTAATCTTTCATTTTTGTTCTTCCTTTTTCTTTTTGTCTGACATCACCTGGGTTGTGCCAGCTTAGTTTTTTGATGTTAATGTGAGCTTCATTTGCAACATTTTTACATATCGCCATCCCTGCTTGTTATCCTCAGATATGCAAAGATCCACATCCCCATCATCGCATCGGTGTCAGAGCACCAGCCCACCACCTGGGTCTCCTTCTTCTTTGACCTGCACATCCTGGTCTGCACCTTCCCAGCAGGCCTCTGGTTCTGCATCAAGAACATCAACGATGAGCGAGTCTTTGGTGAGCAAGTGTAATGTCATTGCATTCACCAGAAGATGTGCCTGTGTTCAGTTCTTGCCTGTATTCATCCTTGGAATCATTTTAAGCCTTCGTTTATAAAAGCCTTCATAAAATAATGATCTATAGGATTAAAAGTATATGAAATATTATCAGGGTAGATTCCATTGTCTTTTCTGTTAAATAAACAACTACATTTTGAGTCTCCAGAAGTGCAATTAAACATTCTCGAGCTTTAATCTCTCAGCAGGCTGTTTATTCTGAACAATATTAAAATGTGGTGAATGGTGATTGTATCCTGTTTGTTCTTGAACACTCTCTGCTATTTGATGTCTGCTGTGAGCATTTCAATTTGTGGAGGCGCTTGGGAACAGAATGCATTGAATTAGTCTCAGTCCCCAGACGAGTTTGTTATTTTTCAGTGGCTGCCATGGAGTTACTGAAGTCTTCGGTAGAATAAACAAGGGAACTTGAACAGACGACATGTTGCTACGTGTTTAAAGGCCCACTTCCGTGTTTTTCGATTTCTCTCTGGAGTTATCCAGTACAGAACGATAAGCACTACACTGCAGTGCTACATTGTCTTCTGGAATCATAACGGCTGTTTTCTCCATTGCCCCCTAGTGGCTCTATATGCCATCAGCGCAGTGTACTTTGCTGGTGTGATGGTGCGTCTGATGCTGACACTCACCCCAGTGGTGTGCATGCTGTCAGCCATCGCCTTCTCCAGTGTGTTTGAGCACTACCTGGGCGATGATATGAAGCGCGAGAACCCGCCGGCTGAGGACAGCAGTGATGAGGACGACAAGAGGAATCAGGGGAACCTCTATGATAAGGTGAGTGAAGGGTCAAAGGTCAGGCCAAGGACACCTTGGTGGATAAAATGTAGCAGTTTTAAACGCCCGCCTTACAAAAACGTGCATGGTACCAAATTAATGAATTTAAATAATATATATAAAATATAATTGTTATTGTCATTGTTCATGCATTTAAATATTTATAAAAAGTATCATTGTCCTTATGATTATTATTATGCTATATATTAAATATATAATAATTAAACAAATAATATAAACCTTTTAAATAAAATCGAAATGATGAGTATTATAGCTATTTTTGCATTTACATTTAATCATTTAGCAGACGCATTTGTCCAAAGGAAAATAACAGCAGTTGAAACGACGAAAGAACAACAATGTTTATTATATGTATATTATGTTTATTACAATCTTTGTGATTCCTCTTATGCCAATTAGTTTAAGAACTTTGTAATATTTGGGATATATAATATTGCAGCATTTTATGTAACTATTAATAACTAATATTTTAAATTGAATATAATAATAATAGTTAACATCTGTAATTACTTTTTGACAATAGTTTGAGATCGAACACCAGACCAGATTGCTTTATAGGAAATGCTTTGTTACTGGGGACAGAATGGTGATTGGTGGGTAGCTTGTTTGTAGCTCATCTGTATTTTGTTTGATTGGTGTGTCCATGTGCGTTTGCAGGCCGGCAAAGTCCGAAAGCACGTGTCGGAGCAGGACCGGCCGGAAGAGGGTTTGGGCCCCAACATCAAAAGCATTGTTACCATGTTAATGCTGATGCTCTTGATGATGTTTGCAGTGCACTGCACGTGGGTCACCAGCAACGCCTACTCCAGTCCCAGTGTAGTGCTGGCATCATACAACCATGACGGGTAAGAGCACCTTCATGTGGCCTTTTTCTTGTTTAAAAGAAGAAATATTGAGAGTTATTGATTTTTCCTGATTCCAGGTCACGCAACATTCTGGACGATTTCCGTGAAGCGTATTACTGGCTCAGGCAGAATACAGATGAACACGCTCGAGTCATGTCCTGGTGGGACTACGGGTATCAGATAGCCGGCATGGCCAACCGCACCACGCTGGTGGACAACAACACGTGGAATAACAGCCACATAGCACTGGTGAGGACAGACATTACAATGGGGTCTGATTTGCTATCATTTAAGATTAAATGTTAAAGAAGAAATGACCTGCTTTTGATATGGTATCGGAGCTCTGTCTCAGTAGCGCCATCTTGAGGACACTGAAAGACCGCCATCAATATTCTGTTCCTTGTGCAGGTCGGTAAAGCCATGTCCTCCAATGAGAGTGCAGCCTATGAGATAATGAAGTCCTTGGATGTGGATTACGTTCTGATCATCTTCGGGGGAGTGATTGGATACTCAGGCGACGACATTAACAAGTTCCTGTGGATGGTGCGCATCGCTGAGGGGGAGCATCCTAAAGATATCCGGGTCAGTGTCAATGTCAATCCTGGCTTTTGTATGTCCAGTGTGCTATATTTTTGAAATCATTATAGATTAGGGATGGGCAATTATATATATATATATATATATATATAACAGCAATTTATAGTTTTCTTTTTTTCTGAGAATACTGTATTTGTAAAGGTAAGGGAATTGGTTGTTTTATTGCTTTATTGAATTTGTAATAAAGGAAAAGATTAGAGATGGGCAGGGATTTGTTTGAAGAGGAAAAAAACAAGGTCGGCTAAAAAATTATAAAATTTTATTTAACCCTCAAACCGTATTCACTTTATTGCCCTTAATCCTGTAATTGTGGACAAATGTGGGCACCGAGGACTCAGGTGTGATCCTAATTTTTATTTATTATAAATGTTATCACTGCCTTCGATAAAGTTTTGTCTATCCATTTATGGTGGGTTTTTTTTATTTTGGGGGTATTTTTGAATTTATTTACTTCAAAAGTACCATATTTTCTATGTAAATTATTTCTATTTAAATGAATTACTATGTAGTTTTATTTTTTTCATTTTTTTAACTACATTAAAAAATCATTCCAATATGTTCTTAGAGCTAAAACCTAAAGATGAAGTGACTTTGCTGTCACCTGGTGTCTTATTTTGGCTTATTTTAGAATGCTCTAAATTACAGTTTTTCCCATTCATTTCTATGGGTGCCCATTTTTGACCCAAATACAAGATTGAGTTTTGTTTTTTTTTGTTTTTTTCAAAAATTGAAAGTGTGTCACAAAAATTGTGTGTTCAGGAGGCAAACTTATAAATCTGATGAAAAAATAAATCAAAACTGTTTTGCCCACATTTGTCCAGAATACGGTTTTAGGTTTAATATCTAAAAAAAATGTTCAATAGCAATTATGATCTTTTTTTTTTGTCTAATTAAAAATGTATAATTTTATTTGAGTATATTGTTTTTATTTTTACTTTATTTCCCTTTGTTGCTCAGAATAGTGTTTCTGTAAAGGTAAGGTTAGGGAACTAATTGTATTGTATCATGCAAGTTTTTTTTTTAGTCTAAGGTTCTGTTCATGTCATGTGACATTGTTTTCAACTAGGCCGGAAAACTGTTCATGCATTTTGGCTGTACATTTACATGACAAGTGCACGTTTTTGAAAACGAAACCATTATCACCACAGTGTTAACTGAAAAAATGTGAATTTGTGAAAACACGTTACTCAGTCCATGGGTGACATCGCCAACTACTGGCCTGGTAGCATAATACAGCATTTTTAATTGTTTTCGTGTATCCGTGTGAACGTTGACGACATTGTCATCTGTATGTGAAAAACTTTGGTTTGGCATTGAAAACAAAAACCGGTGCGTTTGTAGAAGTGCAGTAGAGCGAATGAGCTTCTCCGACAGGGTTTGATCATGCTGTTAGACTGTTACGTGAACTCTCTCTGAGATGCTGAATCTCTAAATGAATCCTCTTTAACGCTCCGCCGCTACTGCAATTAATAAAGCTTTATGTAACATTCACTGTCTTTTACAATACATTTCAAGACCGTTACATTGATGGGTTTTCAGGTCGCCCACAGTGAGAAATGTATATTCTACATAAATCATGTTTGTGATATTTGCTGTTTTTTGAGGTGTCTTTTTGTTCTTTTGTAGGAAAGTGATTACTTCACACCACAGGGAGAGTTTAGAGTGGATAAGGCCGGCTCTCCCACCCTGCTCAACTGCCTGATGTACAAGATGTCTTACTATCGCTTTGGGGAAATGCAAGTGAGTAGTGCTTCCTTTTAATTCAGGTGGTCTATACATTAATTGTGTTGCTGATCCTTTAACTATCACCATTGTGCCCTTCTGATAGTGTAGTAATGTGTGTGTGTATATAGATCAAAACTAACAGCAAACACCTCTCCCACAGCTGGACTTCCGCACACCCCCTGGATTTGATCGGACACGGAACGCAGAGATCGGCAACAAGGACATCCGTCTGAAACACTTGGAGGAGGCGTTTACCTCTGAGCACTGGCTGGTGCGCATCTACAGGGTGAAGAAGCAAGAGAACCGACAGGCTCTGGACCACAAGCTCCGCAACATCGCAGCCAAGCAGAAGTACACCTCAAAAAAGGTTCCTCCCTCTAGATTCCATTAGAACAGCATTATTATTTAATGATGTGAGACTGTGGAACTTGAGAGTTTTTAATACTTAGTAGAATTGAAGCTTAATAGGGGCATTTGTAGTCATTTTCCGGAATGTTCTTAATTGATCGGCTTGAATGATTAATCGATCATTTATTTAACACAAAATGTTTGTTAAAGGGATAGTTCTGTCATTTACTCACCATCCAGTTGTTCTTAACCTGAATTGGCTTTATGCACAGCTGCACTACTTCCTAAACTTAAGCCAGCTCCTTGTTTCCTGTCTGGCATTATTGGACAAACTTGATTAATTCAGGTGTGCCTGACCTCAGTAGTCACGGCAACAATAATTAGACACACCTGAATTAATCAAATTTGTCCAATAATGCCAGACAGGAAACAAGGAGCTGGCTGAAGTTCAGGAAGTAGTGCAGCTGTGCATAAAGCCAATTAATTACTTTCTTTTGTTGAACACATATTAAGTTCTTTTCAAGAATATGGCTTACCAAATAGTTGATGGACCCCATTGACTTCCATAGTATTTTTCCCATATGTGTCCATCAACTGTTTGGTTACGGAGAATCACAATTTTTTTTTGTGTGGGTAAAATGGAGATTGTAATTCTACGATTCTGAAAAAACAAAAAAAATCATTAGAACTATTGACAATATTGATTGCTTTGGTTCATTTAAAAATATTAATTTGAACAAAATAATTTGAATGCGAGTCAATTTCGATTTAGCGTTTGTGAATAAATCTTTAAAATGAATGATTCAATGACAAACCTTTTGAAACATTTGTCGCCACTTCCTGGCATAATAACAGAATTTAACTTTTTTTTTTTCTTTTGGGTGAACTATCCCTTTAAGGTCTACCACGTAGTCTTTTAAATAATACTTAAAACATTTAATTAATCAAATAAATTTTTATAATTGTAGTTATACAATTGCCTGTTATGATCGGTTATTTCACGTGTATTTAACTTGTTTGTTTTCATGGTTCACAGACAGCCAAAAGGAAGAGGGGATACATCAAAAACAAGTTGGTTCTGAAAAAAGGCAAGAAACTGAATAAGAAGTCTGTTTAGCTATTGAATGAAAACGTTAAGAATGGAAAAAGGAAAACAAAAGACAAGGACAAGTGCAACTAGTAAGTAATCCACCAATCAAAAAGAAGAACAAACATGTTGTCTGGCACCGCCCACCTGAGAATGTTTGATTGGAGGCTGTTGGTCCTGCGATTGCCGTGATGATGCGGAGGATCCATGAGCGTTTGGAGGATGGGGATCTGCACCGCAGTTTTAATCTGACAACTCTGGACTTAATTTGGTCTTGTTCTTTTTTTTTTTTTTGCTTTTTTTTTTTTTTTTGCTTTTTTTTTTGTACTTGAATATGCTGGTGAAGAGAGAGCGCTGCCCGTGTCTCAAACAGCAGGCACAATTTTTGTGGTACAGTTTGATATAATACAACCGAATGCTAAAACAACCAACTAATATGAATTCATTAAGCTCAGTGAACCTTGGAGCACCAAAGAGATTTTTTTTTGTCTTGTCAGAGCCTGTGATAAATTGTTACCTTTTGATTATAAAAACCAATTAAAAATAAAAGTCTGAGGAAAATAGAGCCGTCTGCAGTGCGACAGCCCCTAAAATGCTCTCTTGGTTTTAACTGTTATCTGACAAACCCGGTTTCTATGTGACAATGCAGTGGGTTCTTTGTGGCTCTGAATTGGGGGATGGGGGTTCTCCTTTTTTTTCTAAGGCAAACACTGCAAAGGACTCGATTATCAGTAAATGTTTAACTGTTGTGGTGATTTTTGAATATAATTTTGTTTGTTACATAATTTTGAATGTTTTTGGTTTGTTTTTCTATTTGGTTGTAAGATTTTATGCAATAATTCTAAATTCAAATGAAGAAGAATCCGCTTTTATTTTCTTTATTGCTCATGTGTTTTGTCCAGAGGGGGCGCTGTGGCTTGGCATCTCCTGTTCACACATTTGCGAAGATCAGATGTTTTTTTTGGGCCAATTAGAAATCAAAATGTTTCCCCCTCTTCCTAAACAACTGTCTGCCAGGACAAAGAGTGAATTGAATTAGTTGTAGGTTTATTAAAATGCTGCATTACTAGCCTGAATGCACTTTGTCTTAGTTCACCTTAATGTGGATCCACTACTGAGTAGCATGCAGGTGGAGAGTGCTTATTTTTAGTGTGAATATTCCATTTTTTTTTAACATTATAACATCCAATGGGTTTTCTTTGATTTCTGGGCTGCCATTTAAACTTTTCCCCTCTTTGTTTTCTGCCTTTCTGGTTTTCAACCCTACGCGTATTCCTTTTGCTTCATTTCTTTCTTTCTTTTTGTAAGATAATTAGAAGGAAATTTTTTTCCCCTCTTCTCCACAACATATCCATATTATTCTTCTCAGAGGGCTCTGAATCTTAAGAGAAGGTATTTATTAATAAGAATGAAGTTGAGAAGAGGAAGCTGTTCATCCTGAAATGCAAAAACTGTATTTGTTTTCTTTTTCAAGTGAAATTTATTCCATAAATTGTAAAATAAAGTTAAAAAAAATAATTAAAAAGAGCGAGAGAAAGGCAAAGATGCTGTTTGTGAGAATGAGTTTATGCCATTTGTGATTAAAAGAATTAATGAAAGAATTTGCCTTATCCATGTCTGCTTTAAGAAATGTTTTCCGTTTTGTTTGTAGTTTAAATACCAATTTTGTGAAAAGTAAAAAAAAAATAAATACGATTTCGATATATCTGAATATGTTTAGTGAAAGGTAAAATTTCGAAATCTCCGTGTAAACAATGTGATGTAGACGCGTGAGAGATCACTTCCGGCGTAACGTTTGGAGATGGTTCAGTTGGACATCTGGTACATTCAGTTCGACATAGCTGTTAACAAGAGGTAACTATATAAATACAGTATACTATTCGTTTTCTCACACAAACCACTCGTTTCGTGTCTTAGGCCATCAGTGTGTACTATTCTCGAGTCATTAAATCATGTTTAATTTTGACTTCTCTGTGCATGCTCTTTGACGTGGACCCCCATAACGTTACCTTCTTTAAGTTAACGTTATATGACTGACAGACAACCACGGTTTGACCTAAAAATATCAAAATTGAAAATACTGTGGAAACACACCTACATCTTGGATGCCCTTGAGGTAAGCTAAAACATCAAAAATTAATTTCAAAGTGAACTATTCGCTCAATTAATGTCAGCTCAAGTCCTCTGTACTGCATTGGTTCTGCTCTACATGTGTCCACTAGGTGGCAGCTCTAGCACATCACACCATGGAGGCGGTAAACATCTGCCGCCTTCAGAACTTCTTAAGCGAATCAGATTAGCTGTAAATGTCACGTGACTATCACTCTAGAAAAGTGCGTCATGATTGCAGTCTCAAGCGAATATTTTCATCCAGGCAGGGGAGAAAATGTCTATTTTATGATTTTAAATGACGACATTCTACATAACTAGGCAAACCGTAAACCTTTGCATCATATTCATTTACTCCGTTGAATTCTCATTCAAATGCAGCTGAGATCAAGTTGATAATCGGTTTTCAAATGCACGAAATCTGAATGTATGAAATCTATATTTTCTCCCAGTGTTTATATTCCTGATGTGTATCTATGGTTACATGGATATTTCAACTTACTATTTACACTTCTGAAGTGTACACTTAACTTTGGCAGATGTTTCTTTTAAACAGTGTTTGGGGAAAGCCTTCTTAGGTTGAATCTGTGCTAATCAAAACCCAATTACTTTATGTTCACTTGCACTTACAGAGATAAGCTCTGCATGTCTGTCTCAGTCAGACCCTCAACACAGATCTTCATTCAGTTAAGATACTAGCTAAGGCAGTTATGGAAGTCACGATAACAGAACAGAGCAAGTTACATGATTGGATGTGGGTGACTTTACCTTATTTAGATGATGTGCATGATTAAGATCTGCAAAATCAAATCAGTTGAACTGCGTTTTATTACATTAGATTGTAAATTGTAGCCTACTTTCTATGAAAACTGTAAACGTTGGAGTCCAATTACTTTTTTAAGCATTCGAGACATTTTTTTTTTTTTTGTAAGAACTAAATGTTCTTTAAAAAAAAAAAATCCAACTGTGTGTCATACCGTATAGCTTTATTCACAAAATAGAATGGCCATGTAAATAAATTTGTGATGCTTCTAAATTTGGGGAGAAAAGCATGTATGAGATAAAGTTATGTAAGTAACTAAACACTGCTGACATATCTGTGAAAAACTGTCTTCACTATATCCAATTACTTGATATATCCTGATATGTTAATTTAATTTGCACATTTTTGCATATTCGCAAAATAGTATGATATTGAATTGTGTCAAAAAGTCAAATTTCTCAAGAGCCGCTTTTTAGAAATCAAAGGCATTTTAATGAAAAGTTCAGATAAGTGACTGAAAAGCATGCATATCACTGACCTTGCTAAATCATGAAGGAAAAAATACATTTGCACATGATATTAAAATCCATTTCTTCAAATTTCCATTTTATTCTTTCTTCAGGTGTGAGAGACTCGACTGAAGCACAATACTGCCATCGAATGGTAAGATTGATTCAGTCATTCAAATAATACATAAGAACATGAGGGAGTGAGGTCTCTTGAACATGAATACATATGTCCTCACGTACTATAGCCGCTCTGTGCTCACTGGTCTCAAATAACCAGAATGCTCTACGGTGTTCTAAAATAATAGCTATTGGTTATTTGTGTTATACTCTCTGATACAGATGCTACATCTTTTCTGTGTAAAAATTCACTTTACTGTAGTATTGATTACCAGAAGTAATATTCAAATATAAACATATTGCACAAGGTCACACAATTCAGGCCTCCACATCCAAATCTTAATCGTCCGGAGGGGCTTTTGAGGTATTATAACCACTCTAGAGTCTTTTTTTTTTGTTTTTGGCACCTTTCATTCTCCGTACGACAAGTTGGAGAAAAGGATCAATCTTTTTCCCTGCTGTTTGGGTCCCGTTGGTCGGCCAGCCCCTCGTTTACATGGCCACTCCCATCTGTGGGGCGGGGGCTGTGACGGACCGGAATCGTGTGGCTCCGGCTTTTCTTCATCACTTCGTCTTCCATAGAGGATTGTGGTACACCCATCCTTCCCCCTGCGGGCAATTCAAGAACAGAATCAAATGTTAGACATGCTAGATCTGATATGAGAACCAATATCCTGCATGACTCTGGAGCTAATCAAAAGAGGCGGGACGTGAAGGGAAATTAAAAATATTTGGCCCCGTCCCAAACATGGTGACAATGTAAAATGCTGTATTGAGGGTGAATTGTGAACACATAGATGGGTGCCTCTGGAATCATTTCATTTTTGGGTGAACTATCCCTTTAAGACCAATTAGCTGACTAGTAAAAGTACTGACTAGTCAATTATGAAAATATGTAGTTTTGCATATGCTAGGTAAAATAACAAATGTGACTTGTAAGGACAAACGAAGGCATTGAGGCTGCAAGTTTTCTTCAGGTTTTTGATGCAGAATTAGGAAGCCTCACCTCTTTGATGAAGTACTTGGGTTTCCAGGTGGTGCTGCTGGCTGTTCTCTGCTTCCCTTCTCTTCTCTGTTTCTCCTCCAGCTGATGTTTGTGCTCAGTGGCTACATCGATGTCCCCGGCCTTCAGCGCCGCGGTCACATGCTGCCACAGCCGTCTGTCAATCATTACCACAAGACAGGGTAATACCACAGGCTGATACTTTCATTCTCGTATATTGTTGTGGAATAATATACTTCAGATAAATTTGCTCCTAAATTGCACCTGCAAACTTTTTTGCGGTTGCCCCATATGACATTTTTCTTGTCATGTATTTAAATTATATTTTAAATGTTGTTAACAACATGGGTTAATTGAAACATTTTATTCAAGCTTCATGCATTCTTTTTTTTAGCAACAATAGAATGTGTGTAGAAACAAAAACACAAGTTATAAAAAAAGCAACATTTTGAAGAAAAAAGCTGAGAAAATCGCCTTTTTGTCAAAGTCTATGTCCGGATCAGATTCAGAATGATGTTTAACTCATACAGTAGATGGAGTGGATTGAGTCCATCAAAACCCCCATTCTCCAAGCACAGTCCTATACCTCGTCCTGGTTCAACATTTCATTCTAAAAGATTAGGCCGTTTTGATTTATATGCAATTTAATTTGATGATCACGTTATTTTAGATAAGGAATGCTTTTATCATGCCTGTTTTGACGCGGAGATTCTGTCCTCTTTAATGACATGCATAATAGCGCCCCCCTACTGTATAACTGAAAACATGGATTGTTCGAAATTTTGGTCAACGGCGGGGAAGCATTGCGTCATAAATGACAGAAAATTGGCAGGGAAAGAGTTAAAAAAAAGTATATACTTATCTATATAGGGTTCCTGATGGGTGCACAGGAACACTCAAAAGTCACCAAAGGGACTCCAATGTGCAGCATCTATCTGGATGATGCAATGGCAGCCATATTTTGTACCAGAACACCCACTACACACCAGCTTACTGATGGCTCGCAGTTGCCGCTCTAATTCATCCCAAAGGTGTTCTATCAGGTTGAGGTCAGGACAGGTGCGCAGTCATTTTAGAACAGAAAGGGGCCATCTAAACTGTTCCCACAAAGTTGGGAGCATGAAATTGTCCAAAATGTCTTGAAAATGATAAAAAATAATGTCATAATATATAATAATGGTAAAAATTATTTCTTTCTTTCTCAAAACTGAGTTTTGATTTCTAAGTGATCAATTTATGTACAATTGTTTTCCCACATGATTACTGGCTGTAGGACATCAGTAAATGAATGCAGGGTTTCCCAAATGAAACACAAGAGCTGTTAGTTTTGAATGATGTGTGTAGAGAAATGTGTTTAGAGTTTTGCAAAAAGGTTGTTTTTCAAATGCAAACTGAGTGCAAAGCAATAAAGTCTTTGTATTTTGCAGACTTGGTCTTAAGATTGGGTACATGAGTGAACGGTTTCATCGAGTAAGCCTCAAATTCAACTTTTAGTGTATTTTGAAAAAAACTGTAAAACAAACTGTGAAAGAGGTCGCCTGGAGTGAACCAAGAAAATTCTTAAATTGCATGGAACTGAGAAGCATTAAAAAAAGAAAATTATTTTAATGCAAGCAACAAAAAAAGAAAAAGAAAATTGCAGCTTTGGAATAAAAGAAAAATAAATCTGGAAATCTGTTTATTTAAAAAAAAATGATCTATGAATGTAGTATGTATGAATTAGAATGTATTAATTTTATTATAGCACTCGTCAGCCTACAGCAGCCAAGATGATGTTCCTGGAAACAATACAGCAGCTTAATCAAACTATACAACCAACTTAACACCAAATTACAAAACAATATTATGTGAACATGAATAAACTCGTTTGTGTGTGAGTGTGTGCGTGTGTGCAGGCCCGGATTGGCCATCTGGCAATTCTTTCTGGCACATGCCAGAAGGGCCGGTGTGATTTTCTATTGTTTTGGGCCGAGACACAGATAGTTGCGTGTTCTGAGTCAGTTAACACAGTCAGAGCGTAAAAATACGGGATATTATTTTTAGGGATTGCTGACGCGAAACAGACGTTTCGAAGCTTTGCAAGATCCCGAAGCGCAGATGATTCGAAACACTGATCCGAAGTGTGATTCAAAACACCTACGTCACGTGACTACGGCTGGTGGCGTGCTCCCCGAATGGGCTTTATGCACAGCTGCACTACCTCCTGAACCTAAGCCAGCTAAATTGATTCATTCAGGTGTGTCTGATTATTGTTGCCATGACTGCTGAGGTCAGACACACCTGCATTAATCAATTTGAATTAATCAAGTGCACAATGTCATTCTGGATACCATCATTGAAAGTATTTCCCGACGTTTTGCTAAAAACAGAGAACTATACACAGATTTCGCCCTGCTTGATCCCCAGAATTTCAATGACTTGAAATGTAACGGTGTACCTGCAGGCGCACTCAATGCCCTGAGCGCCAAACTCATCAGATACGATAGCAGAGCAACTCAGGGTGAACTACTTAGCCTTTACGCAGTGGGACAAGAATGTGTCTGTGCGCAAAGAGTAATATCTGACCAAGATGAGTACTGAGGATGGAGATGATGAACAGAGTCCAGATGAAGAATGGGATGTTGTGAACACAACCTGCCAATCTTGCAGAAAAGGTCCCATCTGTTGTTATTATGTCCTACAAAGGTATAACCTGCTCACTGACTCCTATACCATCTAATCGGACTTGGATACAAGTTTCTGTTAACTCTGTGACACAAGTTGCATGTGAGCGAAGCTTTTCCACGCTAAAATTAATCAAGAATCGATTAAGGAGCACAGCGGAGGAGCATCTTGAAGCCTTTATGTTGATGGCAATCGAAAAAGAGACGTTTCTTTGGACACGGATTGCATCACAAGAGCGCGCTGATGCAACGGCTGCTGATTTAGTAAGGTAGGTCATGCTTCTTTTTATCATACCCGTATTATCCGCACTATAAGGCGAAACATATTCTAAAATAGGTCATTCGTTGAAGGTGCGCCTTATAATCCAGCGCGGATTACATTTTTATATATTTAAAAACATGTTTATGAAGCGCGAGCGCGTTGGGGCGGGCACGTAACTTACATTCGCAGCAGAGCATGTGAGCGGAGTAGTTTGCCGTTTATTATTAGTAGTTTATTAATTGCTAATTCATAAAAGTAAATGCAGTAGGTTTATTGTAGCCTACTTTCACTGCATGTAAACTAGTTAAACAATTGAAGCCTTATTGGAGAGTGTTTAAAAATAAATTAATAATTAATTAATAAAATTGAATATAAAATAAATGTAATAATTATACAATTTTACCAGCAGGGCTTAATTCTGCTATTGTAGGCTTATTTTGTAGATGTAACCAATTACTTTAGACGAGTGCAAACTAGGTGCTTAATGTAAGTGTTCCTGCTCACAAAATGAGATGTTATGGTCGCCCATCAATGCAAACGTCTCTGTGTATAGAAGGATCATAAACATGCTGGTACAGATCGTACCAGTTCGGCCAGATTCGGCTCGTAGTCGTCCATCTTCGGATGCGGCGCCGCGCGGAAAGTTACAAAAAGTGCCGTGCACACCGCCAGGGCAATGGGGTCTTGCGGACCCTACGCGCACGACCGCCCACACCACAATGACCTTATTTTTGCCGCGCGCTCTTGTGGACGCGTCGAGTATAAACAAGGCTTAAGATGGATAAGAGAGCGAGTTCGCGGGTGAATGTAATAACACGGAGCGTTATTAACCAATTGATCCATATACAAGGCCCTCCTGATCATAAGGCGCACTGTCCTTTTTTTTTTATTTGTTGAGAAAATTAAAGGCTTTTAAGTGCGCCTTATAGTGCGGAAAGTACGGTATTTTGGCCGCTGTGCCATGCTCATGTGCGTGTGTTTTTGGCCGCTGTGCCATGCTCATGTGCTTGTGTTTTTGGCCGCTGTGCCATGCTCATGTGCTTGTGTTTTTGGCCGCTGTGCCATGCTCGTGTGCGTGTGTTTTGGCCGCTGTGCCATGCTCGTGTGCGTGTGTTTTGGCCGCTGTGCCATGCTCATGTGGTTGTGTTTTTGGCCGCTGTGCCATGCTCATGTGCTTGTGTTTTTGGCCGCTGTGCCATGCTCATGTGCTTGTGTTTTTGGCCGCTGTGCCATGCTCCTGTGCGTGTGTTTTGGCCGCTGTGCCATGCTTGTGTCCGTGTGTTTTTGGCCGCTGTGCCATGCTCCCGTGCCTGTGTTTTGGCCGCTGTGCCATGCTCCTGTGCCTGTGTTTTGGCCGCTGTGCCATGCTCGTGTGCGTGTGTTTTTGGCCGCTGTGCCATGCTCCTGTGCCTGTGTTTTGGCCGCTGTGCCATGCTCGTGTGCGTGTTTTTGGCCGCTGTGCCATGCTCATGTGCGTGTGTTTTGGCCGCTGTGCCATGCTCGTGTGCGTGTGTTTTTGGCCGCTGGGTGATGCGTCTAGCCATATTGATTAGGATAAGAAAAGCAACCTCAATGATGAATTAGCCAAATCTTTTATTAAATTTGATTGCAAAACTTTCAAGGATCAATGGATCCACACTTTTTGCAAGCGTAGCACTACTTCAGAAGCACCTCTCTGCCGCTATATCTTCTTTTGATTGCATTACGAGGCTGTGGTACCGCCAGGCTGAGAGCATTAGACTACTCTGATGGGGCTCTGACTTGTCCGGCTGGATCTCTGCTCTACAGTAAGCCAATAAGCAGCATTAGAGTTTATTAAGTGAAACGTCCAGCTCACTCAGGGCCAGCGCATGAGGGTCACGAGTATCGTATAAGAGATCTAGAGGGGCAGGATTAAGCTAAAATGCTCTAAAATGAGAAATGCTCATCCACCATGGCATTATCTGGATCACTGAGTTCTGATCTTTCACACTCACAATTTATTTGCATTGCCTAAGTAACTCTCTTCCCTAGAAGAAAGGTTTCACTATGCTTTCATTTGAAGTTAACAGACTTCTGCAAAATGAACAGAACTAGCTAAATCTAAATAAAAACACACAATTGTTTATATAAATATATTTAGTCCATTTTGTACTTTGGGAAGTGTGATAATCAGATCATTTTGACTTTTTTATTTGTAGGGTTATTAGGGGGACGACCCAGACTCAAACAATCGTTGTATACACGACTCAACATGACTCGTGCACGTGTGAAATCAGCGGGACTTCAGTTGCAACCGAAAAAGAAAAAAGACCACAAAAATAGTTGTTTGTGATTTCTGCATTACTAGTGGCTCAAAATGTAATTGCAAAAATAAAATAAGCATTATTTAAACTAAATTCAATTCTGAAAAAAGCATCAGTTCTCCCATAAATGCCCACATTATCCATAGTATTGAAATGAAGTTTGTGATAAAATCTCACCTCGATTCATACGGAGCCTGTTTCTCCAGCGGGCGAATCTTTTTCTTAATGACTGGCAGTTTGGATGTGTCAATCACTTTGGTCTCTCCACTGCTGTAAGTGAACTCCAGGGTCCCGTTCCACTCCCCCTGAGCCTTGCATACGATGGTACCGGTGGGATTGTGCTTTACCTCACCTGTGACTCTGTTGAAGAAAAAAAGAAAGTAAGTTAAAGGGGCTATATGTAGAATTCCGAAACCATTGTTTTTAGTGACACCAGTGGCCAATAAGTGAACTGCAGCCAGAAACTTCTTGCAGGTGGATATGTTTGCGCAAGCTCTGACTGCAATTCACCAGCATCATGTGGACAGGTGAGGTAGTTAAAATGATAGCTTGATTATAAAAGTATGTTTAAGACTAGGACATGAAAATGTATAGGGGGTGGTGATGGCGCAGTGGATAAGACGCATGCCTTTGGTGCGAGAGACCCTGAGCGAGACACTTAACCCCTAGTTGCTCCAGAGGCGTGCGATCTCTGACATAGCAATTGTAAGTCGCTTTGGATAAAAGCGTCAGCTAAATGTATAAATGTATAGATAGACTATATAGATCTGGCTATTTGTGACTATAGTTTGAATTAATCCCTTTTCTTTTTGACACATTGACATTACAGAATAGCTCTTTTAGTATCCTGAACATGTACATGCATTCATTTCATGAGCCACTGAAGGAAGAGGGGATGTAGCGTGTAAATGTCAAATCTTTTTTTATAATCACGGCAATAACGTGCCGAGCGAGTCCTTCACATAAAAATGGGCCTTCAGGCTTTTATAGAAAACTCAGGAAGTCGGGAAAGGTCTCGTTTTTTTGAATTTCACTACAACCTGTTCACCCACTGATTAATAAATGAAAATTCCTACCGCCCCTTTACAATAATCCAAATAATCCAAATCTTACCAAAACACATATTAAAATATGATCTCAAATAAAATAAACTTCTTCACTCTCTCACCTGTGAACTTTCCCTCCATAGAAGGGTTTGGTGTGAAATGTGACGGTGGCGGAGTATCCGCTTTTGGCGCAGCTGATGGAAACTTTCCCACCCAGCTCCACCCAGGGCACTGTGAGGATGGAGCGAGCGTAAGCTGAGGGCAGCGTGAACACGTACTCCTCGTCATGCTCTAAGAGATGTAGGACTCCTAAAATGAAAACACAGAAGTTGTTACAAATGATATTAGCATTCCTTCAGGAATTCATATCCACCTTCTGTAATATAGTCCAGTGTCATGCGTTTTAACCTGTTCTGATTTACCAGTCATCAGGATGACAGATTCTTTCTGTATATGAAGAGTTCAGATGCAAAAGCCTCTAAATGCTATTTGAAATTTTCTTCTTTAATGATGATTTTTATCAAACTTTTATATTTAAGTTCAGTAATTTCACTTAAATGGCAATGATAATTACCTATTAATTGTTATTTAAGTGAAATTACTGAACTTAAATATGCAAGTTTGACAAAAAACATCATTAAAGAAGAAAATTTCAAATGGCATTTAGAGGCTTTTGCATCTGAACTCTTCATATAGTGTACTTAGATTTAAATACACTATATTATAATGCAAACCTTAAACTACAGATTATACAGTTATTCATTAAAATGATTACTTGTGTTTATCTGTATAACTCAGGTAAAATCTGATCAGTGCGATCATTTTCACAGCAGCTCTCTCAGCAGGCCTGGCCTATTTTTTATTCTGGTTACATAATGGACAGCTGTCTAGTGGCAAAATCTCTGTGGGCTGTCAGCCAGGTCTGACAACAGCACATCTGTTTCCCAGAGACAAGAGAGCTGAACGGGGGGGTGCAGTTCGGCTCCCAGCTCCAAAAGGGTCAAGCGTGTTTCGGCCCAGTTCCTTGTGATCATGCTGAGAACAGAGCTTCTCTGATGATCCCAGTAGAGGACAGATAAATTCATGATGATGTCAATTTGTAGGCGAACCTGGAAGACTACAGTATTTGACAATGGGTTTCAAAATGGCCGTTTTGGTGAGTTATCAATGTAAACAGTTAGTTAGTTATGTGTAAAGTGAAAGTAAACATTGGGGAAATTATAATTATATTGGATCCATGCATAAGGAAAGTGAATATCTTTCAGACGCCATCGTGTATATGTTGTGTTTAGAAGGGAAACCCACTGTCTTTGACTTTGAAAACCCCTGATCTCAGTCAAAGTTCATTTCAACGTGTACTAATACATTTTTACTCTCTGGTGCTCTTAAGTCATTTTTGAATGAAAAATTTAGCATTTTGTTTTTTTTTGTTCGAATTTTTTGCTTTATAGGAATGATTCGAAACTTGGTAAAGGTTTTGGCACCTGCTATGTGAACACACACAAAAAAACCCCATAAATATTATTCGAAAAGGTCCTAATATATCAATGTCAAAAGGCATTTTTCATAATAATAACAGAAATTCTATAACCTTTTTTAATTTCACTTTTATAAAACTGTTTTCACTTCAGCAATAATCTGTCATCCTTAAAAAGAGACCAAAACAAGTATGTGCACCAAAACATTCCAGATTTATGACAGTTTCAGTTGGAATTTTCAATTTCAAAAAAGTGAATAAATGCATTACTGCATAAATAATTTAGTACCATAAAATACAAAATATTAAATAAAAAAAAACATTATCAAACTAAAAGTACATTGCTTAAATTGAGATACTAAAATTCAATTCATTTTTGACTGCCAGATGAAGCACACCAGAGGGTTTAAATCAAAGCACGGACAAAAAAAAACAAAAAAAACCCCCCCAACAATTACATTTTTACAAACTAACATTAACTTAGATAATAACTGATTTAAATAAATATATTGTTCACTGTTAGTTAACGTAAGCTCGGCATTAAGTAATGTGTACAAATGTGTCTTTAAAATAAAGGGTTGCCAGATAATCTTCATGCCAATAAGTTTGAATGATGAAATAAGTTTAAGTGTTTTATTTTATTTCCATTAACTTTTAAATAGTTTTTATGGTCTAAAACTAAAACCCTAAAAACTATTTAAAAGTTAAAGGGGAAAAAAAATAAAACAATTAAACTTACTTTATTTAGCTTGTTGCCAAGGAAACATTTCTCATTTTCAATTAGTTTAACTTGACATACTAAAATTATTAAAACTAAAACTGAAATAAAAATGCATAAAAACTATACAGACATATTAAAAATAATAATAATAAAAATGACAAAAAAACAAACTAAAATGAAAATGGAAAATATACAACTAAAAACAAATTGAAAATATGAACAAAAACTAAAAAAACTTGTTTTTTGAGCCAGTTCTTTTCAATGAAAATTTCTAAATAGAATAGACAATGAATCACTGAGGAATCAGACAGACAGCTCTGTGACTTACTAATCTGCTGTCAGTTATCAGTGAATGACAGCTTGATCTGTTCATCATATGACATCAGAAAACTTATACAACTTATACCAAACTTATACAAACTTATACACTTTTCGAGTTTGACAGAATGAAAAATAAAAGCATGAGTAAATGACAATTTTCATTTTAGTGTAAAACATTTTTAACTTTTTAAATTCCTCTAAAATTCCTGCTGCTCCAATTAACACTGTGTACATTACTCGAGGGGATTAGTGCAAGCCGTCTTATAAGTAATTAATGTTGTCCTAATTACAGAAGAAACTGGTTAAAGCTCATCAAAAGCTACCTTCATCCCTCATGATCCTCCACTTCACTGAACTCTCAGTTCGAGAGAATTGAGAAATGCTTAGGTTCAATTAAACGATGTTCTTTTGAATGTACTATTCATCAAAGAATCCTGACAAAAAAAAATATCTACAAATATATTAAGCAGCACACCTGTTTAACATCAATAATAATAAGAAAAGTTTCTTGAGCATCAAATCTCCATATTAGAATGATTCTGAATGATCATGTGACACTAAAAACTATCGTATTGATGCTAAAAATTCAGCACTGCCATCACAGGAATATATTGGATTATAAAATATATTTAAATAGAAAATAGTTGTTTAAATTGTAATAGTATTTTACAACATTGCTATATCTTTGATCAAATAAAATATAGTGAGCATAAATACTTTTTTTTTTAAGTGTAATTATAAATGACATTTATCTGGCATCTGTCACAACATGAATGGGAAATGAAGAACCTGGCCAAAACAAGGTATATAAATTAAATGAAGGCAGAATCTTTGGGGGAAATGCCTGAAAATGCCCCCTTTGCTGGCAGCTCTACAGTTTTGGGACTTGAGCGAAGCATCGAGTGAGCGTGTGAAGTGACACATCAAGAGGAGAGTTTTTCAAACAGATGAACATTTCTGTTGTTGTTCCTGCAGACAGATGGAGTTGTGATACAAGCACCAGTAAATATCACAGGCCCTGAGGCAGATCAGCTGATCTGGAAACAGTATGCTCTTTGGACACAGTTCTGCCTGAATGAGCAAACCCTCAGGCTTTAATCAAACAGTAATGAACAAAACTCAATGATCCCAGCAGACAAATGATCCCCATAAACAAAACACAACTTTATGAATAAATAAATGCTTCTAAGAAACTATTAGTATTTTTTTCTAATGTTTTGGTATGAAAACAAAGACTCGTAGTGAGATCTTATGGATGGATCTTGAGAACTGGATGAACTGGATTCACTGATTTCTCATTGCATTTTGTAGCCCTGCCCACTGTGAAATCTCATTGGTCCAAAATCCTGCTACTTAGCAGTGTATTAAACTAAACCAATTCTGATTGCCTGTAATTGGTCACTTTGCACAGTACATTGTCTCTTTTATCCTTCATTGTCAAATACACTGTTTAATTTTGAAAATAAATGAAAACATTTTGTTTTGCACAATTTTGATTTTATGCATATTTATTAAAATGTTAATATTGGTCGATAGCTACAAGACTATATAATTATTTTCATGTTATGGTTGGTCAACAGTAAATTACCAATATTAAAAATATCCTATTTTGTCTAAAAAGGTATATATATATATATATATATATATATATATATATATATATATATATATATATATACAGTATATGCATTTTATGGTTGTAAATTACCACTATTAAAAGTATCCTATTTTGTCTAAATATTTTTTTAAATTACTAATAAAAGAAAAATGCAACAACATTTCTCAATTTAAAGTTTAGTTTAAGTTGAAGTACTATAATGAAACAAAACAAATTATATACAAATATATATATATATATATATAAAGAAAACAGAAAATATTCAAATAAAATCTAATTCAAAATATTAACAAAAACAATAAAAATATATATATAAAAAATAACAATGATCGCAATATAATGTGAAACATGAAAAATACAACTAGATTATTGTTATAATAATATATAATAACAGCATTAGATGACAACAAAAATCCTAACCCTAACTAATGACTACAAGCTATTAAATATTTAATATCTACTGATACCAATATCTGTCAATATTGGTATCTGTCAATATGGTACTAAAATATGTGAAATATTTTTCATACCAAAAAAGCACATTCAAATAGAAAAGGGTGTTACACAAGCAACGTTTTGAGCAAAAAGCTGAAAAAAAAATCCTATTTTTGTCAAAGGCTACGTCTGGATAGGCTTCAGATCGATGGTCGAGTGAGTCCATCAACCCCTGCAAAGCTTCACAGTCCTACACCTTGTCCTGGGTCGACATTTTATTCTGTAACATTAGGCCGTTTTGATTATATGCTATTTAGTGTAGAAGATTGCATTATTTAACATATGATATCGCTTGATTCTGTATCTTCTTCGCATATGTTTTGATCAGGAGATGCAGTAACGTTACTCTCAAATGTGTAATAGCGTTCCCTACCGTATAACAGTGGGGAAAAAAAGCCGTAAAATTCTGTCAATGGCGGGAAAAGAGTTAAAAGAGACTCAAACTCACCTTCTCCAAACATTGACACTCCTATGGACATGCCCATGAACTTGCTTTTTGTCCAAACATGGGTGTTGACGCATGTCCGGCGCTCTTTGCACTCGCAGTAAAATCCAGAGACTGGGGGGTGGTGGGACACCTGTTCAGCCACAAAGCGTAGCCGGTAAGATCCTAACCCATCATTGGAGATGGTCTGGGCGGAATGAGCAGCCGCAGGTGCTGGGCTTGAGCTGGTAGTCCTGAGGGGCCGTACCTTATCTCGCGGTACGTCCCATGTGCAATGGAAGCTCTCTCCCAGAATGGGGTTGTAAGGCTTCTTGGCCACAGCACCTTTGCGACCCTCGTGGAAGGCGGTCAGGTAGTATTCCACAAACCGGATCATGCGTTCCTCTGCCGTCGCTCCAGACGTGATGGCCAAAAACACATCCGGGTGGGCCATGAAGTTGGCGTACATCTCCAAAAGGGAGCGCTTCTCTAGGATAAACGTGGGCAGCACCACCTAAGAACAAAAGATATAGGCCTCCATTATCTGAAGACAGTTTGTGAGTGAAAAAAGATTTCACGGATATTGCTGAATATGGCCATGATAATGACAACATGGCGAATGTAGTCCAGATTACATTCAAACTACACACACTCATACCATATAGAAGAACATACTTTTTTAGCGGCCGTGAAGTAATTACCTACTCAAGAGAGTATGTGATTTTGTCTTATTGAGCAAGTCACTGAATTATTCACTCAACCGTTTCAAGATGCAGACTCTTAATATATCACACAATGGCTGTTTTTGTTGGTGGGGCCAAAACAGACAAAGCAACTTGCAATATTGTGCCTAAATTTAGTCAGTACAAATTTCCTGTTTTTACTTGTGTATAAAAACATTATCATACTTGCCATCTTGCCGTTTTATCATCTTGGCTTTGGTTAGCACTCACATCTACGCCGATATTACAAAAGAGCATATTATTCTTGTCATATTGCTAAAATATTTTATTATTAAACTATGCAATGAATGTGATATGATGTCAGTGTAAGCGCATACCTATTACTGGCGCTGAAAGATAATATAATAGTTGTATGCTTGTCTTTGTAATACAGATTCTGACTCCATGGATTAATGCTCTGTCCCTCTCCCCTGAGGCCCATACACACACACACATCACTGAACTTCATCATCTCAGCAATCCAAATGACTGCTCGAATCCTGCTGAACTATAAACACAAGCCCTGAAGGAAATGTTAATATCAGAGAGACTAAACAGAGACGCCTCTGTAGAGAGTAAAGAGAGAAACATATATCAAAACCAACACTGAGGCTGATGAACAGTAATTAGAATAATAATATCATGACACCTCTCGACACGCTCGAATCGGTCCAGTAGATTCCTAATCACGAGGACGAATAGGATCATCAAATCAGATAAAGTATCCTGTTAACTGATTACGTAAAGTATAATTATGAAACTGAATTTCCCCTGAGCTATGATTATGTTAATATTCCTTGTATGTAGCATGGTACTGTAACAGCGTGGTTCAATCAAATGTAGGACCATATCAAATTCCAAGAATTAGTCTTTTAAAAATAAACCACAATACTCATAATAATAACCAAACATAATGTCAACAAGACAAGACAGGGGTGTATATAAATATACACACAGGACTAAAGGACTAAGTTAACAATGGGCAGGTGGACACAATAATTTACTATGGTTAAACATAGACCCACACTAGGAAACTAGGACAACTAAGGCTGTGTGTCCACCAAAGCGTTTTTCAACGCGCCTGGTGTATGTTTTCAATGGGAGCGCCGCGTTTTTTAAACGCCATGAGCGTGACGAGGCGCTAAGCGTTTTTTACTGGTCACCGAGAGTTAAAAAATGTTCAACTTAGCGCTCATCACTGTCACTTTTTACCTAGCCGTCCAATCACAGTGGAGGAGGGGCGGGACTAAACCACACTGACCAACTGTCACAAAATTCTTTCTGTACAACGACATCAACCAACAGAGCTAAGGCCTTGTGTCCACCAAAGCGTTTTTATTCAGCTGAAAACGCCGTGCTTTAGGCGCTTGAGAGCGTTTTGGCAGCGCAGCGTTTTTCCGTTGAGACGTGTCGTTCCTATGATACAGAATATCTGCAGCACAGTTTACTTGTAACTGATTTCGCAGATAATTTGTTTCATACTAAAAAATTATTTTTCATCCATTTTGTTCGGTTAGCTCGGTTAGCTAGTTACATTCATTTAGAATTTTGAATAAACTCCAAAGCACAATGACTAAGTGTGTATTTTTTTATTTTAATTGTTTGTCAGCTCACACAACTGTCTGTCCATGCCTTGATGAGTATTGATTATAAATAATATTATTATAATACTCCCAACCAACGACTGCGGAGGGTAAAGGTACTGTTATTTCACCCTTTTTAATTTCGTTGAGGTTATGTTCCCACATCGTTAGCTAGTTTGGATCGCTATAACTTGAATGACTGTCAACTGTTGAATGAATGAGTGTCAAGCATGTCAAGTCGCGCTTTGTTTACTTCGAACCGAAAGACACTTTTGAGGCAAGGCCTCATGGGGCGTTGGAAACTTGTGGATATAATAAAATATTTTGATGTAATAAAATTATATTCGTATACATTTTACTGGTAAATAAATTCATTGTGTATTCCAAAACATTCCAAATATCCGTGTTTATGGCACACAGTGTGGGTTTTTGTCAAAATTTCCAAATCATAAAAAGCTGGAAAACCCCTCCTTTGTTCCCTGAGATTAAGAACAGATAAACAGTCTTGAGTGGTTCCTGTTTGTATGAGAAAAGGAAGAATGATGTATACATGTACGGAATGGCCGAATTCTTTCAGCATCATTAACTTGATGATCAGTTTGGGTGGGACAGCAAGTGTGTGTGTGTGTGTGTACCCGTGTGAGGTCCATGCCCAGTTTGAGTTGAGACAGCAGATGAAGGATAATGCTCCTCTGGTCATCCAAGACTCCGAGGTCTTCCTCCTCATTATCTTCTGTGTCTGTGACCTCCTCGCTGGAGTCCACCGATTCTGGGCTGGAGTTCTGCGAATCATACACACACACACACACACACACACACAACAATTTACAAATGTTACTGAACAAAGATTACTTGTGAATTACCATTAAATAAAATTGTTAAAGGAGTAGTTCACTTTTTAAAAAACTTTTGCTAATAATTTACTCACCACCATGTCATCCAAGATGTCCATGTCTTTCTTTCTTCAGTTGAAAAGAAATTAAGGTTTTTGATGAAAGTATTTTTCTCCATAATGCACTTTAATCGGAGTGTTTAATCCTTTTCGAACTTGTTCATCAAAATGAACGAATCTTTTTTCGAGTCAGTTGGTTCATTCAACGAACGAAATGACTGAATTGACGGCGAGTGTTTGAGTTTATAAAACTTAAACTTTGTTATTTGTTTTTTAAATGAGCGATCGTTTCGCTTGATAAGACCCTTATTCATCGTTTGGAATTTTCAGTTTGTACTGAAATTGTTTTTTTGGACCTTGAACCGCTTGGTTCCCATTGAAATCCATTATATGGAGAAAAATCCTGGAATGTTTTCATCAAAAACCTTAATTTCTTTTCGACTGAAGAAAGAATGACATGGATATCTTGGATGACATGGGGGTGAGTAAATTATCAGCAATTTTTTTTAAAAGTAAACTACTCCTTTAAGCCTCATTTCAGGGCATAATGGTAAATTATGACATAGTAGTCAAAAGTATGAGATACTAAGGATACGTTCCCACTGTAAGTCTTTTGAAATTGACAACCACATAAATTGAAAAATTGATGTAAATTGAAAAGGTACAAATTGTTGAAAAAAATTCTGATTATATAAAAATGTTATAGCAAAAATGTATTTTCTCTTTCCCCAAATGAAGATGCTCAAGGCAACTGTGTATTTTTACGCAGTCTTGGTTGGCTAATGTAGTTGGTACCCCTTCAATCAGTCATGCAACAACCTTACATTGTTCCTAATGCATAATGTAAAGAAGTAGTCCAGAAGCGCCTGCCCCAAAGCATCATGGGAAGTGCATAAAAAGCCCCTTCCTCCTCTAAGGGCTCTACGTAGATAGTGTTGAAAGATGAGCGAAGCAGATCGCATGATGCTCTCTCAGTGGAAGGGATCACTCTTTTTTCCTTTCCAAGGCACACAAACGTTAGTAATTTAGGGGCAGCAGATGGGATCTAAATGGGTTACGATATGGTTAGACAGTAAAGTAAAACAGTAGGGTTTTGTGGGCTAGCCGTAATCCCCGAGGTAACACTTACGACTGGGCACATACCATTGCCCGTGGCATTATGGCTAGATTTTATTAGATTCTCTTGCAAACCATTTATCATCTCTTTTTTTCCTCTTTCCTCCTGCATTCTTTAATAATGGTAAAAATGGAATATTGTGTTCCCGGAAAAAAGTACGGGAGCTCATCATGCAGGATGGAACGCCCTCATTTCGAGCTGCAACTGAATATTTCATAGAACAAGAGCAGAGCACTTTCTGCTTCCCTCTACGACATCACAATATGATTAAATAAACACATGCGAATGAGGTCACATGCAACCAGCGTGACCACACATCTATACACACAAATGCATCATCAATACTAAATACAGTGTTCCATGCTGGCATGTTACATCCCACTGTCCATGTAGGATTTGCAAAGGATCATGTCAAGGACACTTGGAACAATTCATTTGGTGTCCTTCTTTCTCTGTGGAGGAGGTCTAGTTGGGTGGTTTTGTTTTGTTGGACTGTTTGGTAGCTACAGTAACTAGCCAAAAATTGGAAATCTAATTAAAGCTAATTATATACGCAGAGGTTTTAAAGATGCAGTGAAATAAAAGGAAAAATCAAGGAAAAGTAGCCTACTTTGCCGTTTCTTCTAGAAAACAACGAGATTGTATGGAAAGAAGATGGAGGAAACTCACACGTCTCCTTTAAAGTTTCAGAAGAGATCTTAATGTACCATATACCAAAGTCTGCGATTAAGTCAGAGATTTGAGAAGTATTTCTCATCAAACTGTCCCAAATGATCTAAGCATTGCTATACATTTTATATAACGGTCTCCTGAGACAATTGTTTCCTAAATTTATCCTATATTAATTTACTTTATACATACATAAATCATATCTAAAGAACTCCATAAGCTATTAAAGAGAAACCTCTGACTCTGAGCAAGGATATTGTCCTCTAGGAGTCTTCAGTCTTTTGCATTGGCTAAAAACTGGCACAATAGGACCAATAAATGAAAACATTACAACAATGAATGAAGTTTCCAACTTTCCCCACTCCCAGCAATCCAAAGGGATTGCTCTCTCTTGCCAACAGGATAAACATGCTGCCCTAAGGATTCAAATGAACTCAAACTTACATTCATTTCAGAGCTGGTTCGGATATAGGTTCATCTCATAGTTTCACTATGGTGGTCTCGCCAAAACTCTCTCTTTCACGATCTCTCACTAACTCTGACTCTTATCTCGCTGCCCAGCTGTCCCAGAGCTAAGGAAGCACTGCTCCCTCCCACTTTGCCAACCTACACACACACACACACACACTCTCTCTCTCTCACGCTGCTGCCTCTCCACAGGTCTCTTGTTTAAAATACGGGCTGAACTTCATGAGTTTGTTTGCTCAGGATGGAGAATAGATGGAAATCATGACTGGTAAGAAGATTAAAATTGAGACCCCCATTTGTCAGAGTCAATCACAATACATTCACTTCCATAGTGCATTTACACCAATTTCACCTCTACCCCTCCCCCATTATGACTACTTAAATATGCATCACCTCTGTTTCTCAGAGCATGCACACAATGCTGAGGACAAGTGTAGTTCACTAAAAATTCACTCCAATTTCAGTATGACTAAACACAAATGATTAAAATCGAACTTTTCAAAGTGTAGGTATACTTATTTAGTGTGTCCAGTCGCTTTCAGTTCTACCTGCAGTCATAAACATCCCCTTTAGTTACTGTGTCAATAGTAGTCAACACACTTTCACTAACCTGAACATTTACAAGTCCCCAATAAAAAAAAGTGACACATTGGGAATGTACTGTAATACTTTAAAGGTACAATATGTAGGAATTTTGTAACAAAATATCCCAAAATCACTTGTATAGTGTGATATATTTCCTGCAGTTGTGTACCTAAAAGTCTCCAAAGATTTTTTATTTCAGAGAAATTTTAATTTTAAATAAGTGTCCGTCCTGGAAAAAAAATGTGGCATGTCAATGACGCAATATCCGCGCCATCCTCGGTTTCCGTTCATACTGTAACCATGGCGACAGATGTGGACAACTGCGTATTTCTTAACATTTAGCGGCACGCAGTTCTTGTTTCTTTCAAACATAGACCATGGCAAGCAGACTTTGGCACAAACATGGAGAACTAAAATGAGGATCAATATCAGCGTGGCATTCTTGAGATTCCAAGAGCTCCAAGTCCGCGACTAACTTGGAGCAACACCTCCCTTGCATATACTTTATTAGACAGGTGAGCAAACATGAAACAAAATCTGTGTGTTTCCTTGCAACACATGTAACTGTCAATAATATCACTTATTATTGCCTATATTACGTGACAGATCAATCATTATGCATATGTTGATTGATTCACCTCAAAAACTATCAAGTGATCGTTATGCTGATGAAAATTCAGTTATATTGCTCTTTGTACTTTGGTAATGCTTTTTAACACTTGTTTTGACTGAGATTATGGCAGTGCAATTAAATACAACTGATATGTGTTGTTAAACAATATTTAGCCATTACTTGCAAATGTTCGTTCAAATTTACTTTGAGTACGATTGGTTTGAACACGTAAAACAATACGGCATTAACCATAAACATGTAAAACTAATAGACAGTAAAAGAAATGGACGCAGCGACCCCATTGATTTCAACGGAGAAGACCCGATAATTGCACTTCCTGTTTGATGTGTGAGCGACTGCGAACCCAGTGATCTCCATGATGATAGTACAGTATGTTTCAGAGTGTGATGTGTTCAGTGTAATTTCAGACGATGTGTTTAATCCCCATGTGGTCTCATGACATGGTCTGATCCGCACATGACTCCACAGGGACCTCCTGAACCTAGAGTGTGTATGCGTGACTACGTTCACAATGGAATACTAAAACACTGCACAGTATACACTGAATACTGCCTACTATTTATGTAAAAATATATTATGAGAAATCTTTGAAATCGTTTAACGATTAGCGATTCAACAGTATGAAAGACCTTTTTATATGATGCCCCCATATGTAATCTCATAGAAAGAAAAAAAAGGTCTATTGACATACAATTCAATTTTCTCTAAAAATGTCTTAACTCTTGAGAGTGCAAATCATGACTGACATTTTCATTGGTTTAAATAATAAAAGTCAGCCAAAAATGGTTATATGTATGATCTTAAGGCTGGAATCCTAGAATCAGCACAGCCTCAGTGTGTGATGATGGGCAACAGAGGAAAGAAGAGAAAATGAGAAAATCCCTAGTCAGAGGATTAAGCATGGACTATAGACTTCAAATTGGTATGATCTCAGATTATACTATGCATTTAATATACAGCAGAAAAAGAAAAAAAAAGAGTTCACAAACACAACCCAACTACAGCTCTGCCTCCAGGCATTGGCTTAGCATACAGAGATGCATTTTATACAGAATCCATTTAGCTCTCTTATACACTCGATGAAATACAGTGGGGTTTAAAAGCATTGAAAGACTCACCACTTTTAATAGGAGACACTGTTTGTGGAAACCTTCCTTTTTAGGGCCAGTCATAAAATCAGCTGACTTTGGTCAGGTGACCTGACATCATGTTAGAGCTCTTTAGAAAACAGCACGGGGTGGTGAGAACGCAGTGTTTTAAAACAGCACCACCTTCATGAATTAATAATCAGCGGCAGCACGTTGTCTTCAGGGACACGGTTAACGTGAGTGCCTACGCACTGAGAACAGGATGAAACCACGCTGCTCAGACAAAGAGCCTTTAATCAACTCTACCATGTTGAATTAAAAAAGCAGTA